CATGGGATTAATTTGCAACTATGTTTAGTTCGAAAAATGCCTATTAAAAGTGCGTTAAAAATGATCCTGGAAAACAAATTCTATCTCGCTTTTTTTGAAAACTATAAGGTGTTTTTTTATTGCTTTGTGATCTCCATGAGCATAACTAATCACGGTTTACCTAACAGAATGCGATTTGCCTTTTAAAGAATCCCAAGAGTTAAGAGCCGCACAATTTGACGATAACTAAACTCTTGAAGTCAAAAAAATTAAGAATAATCCTATCCTGCTGGATACATTAAATTCAGAAGCCGGGAAGGACGAGAGGACCTCTTACCAATAGTTGGCCAAATATGCGGAATAGTGTACAACAATGGGCACAATTTATGTATCCTCCGCCAGTGAAGTGCATCGTCACAACAAACATGCTGCCAAAATATTCCCCTTCCCCACTACCTGTTTCAAACGCGTCTACATGGACATTTTTGCCCTCCGCCTATTCCCAGCGGATCTACTTTCATATTGACCTGAATTGGCCTTTACATACAATAGTCTCAGGCGACGCCAATTAAAGATGCATCAAAGCTGACAGCGATCAAAAAGTTTGGTTAAGGCTTTACTTTTCTCCCTACAAACATTAACAAAAGATAGCATTGCCAGCAACCAGTAAGTTGTCTCTGTTTCCTTCCGAGATTTACAATGTCTATTCAGATGAGGTGACATAAAATGAGAGCTAACCATCCTGCCACAAAGGACCTTATCGGACAATTTCTCTGACAAATGAATCCCGGGGTTGTAGACAATCATGGTGTGTGTTGAATTGCGTTGTACCCACGGGTTTACACAGAGTCTAGTCCAAGGTGAAAACAAATATCAGCTGCTTGCTTCCAGAATTAGTGTTTGACATCGCCACTGATGGAAGTGGTTTCACTTCTTGCCATTTAGTCTCAAACACCACATACTCGACTTAGAATTCTACAAATTTTTGCCATAATTTTCGCGCGTTCTCCTTTGAGCATGAGAGTAGCATGGTCTCTAAAAATTCGTATTATTTGATTGAATAAAGACGTCGGAGCATGGAATGGTGACTTCCTATTTTTCCTGACCTCCATGTCTGAGGCTAGTAAGGTGGCAGGATCAGTACAGTTTCTTCTCCACAGTTTTAACACAACTCCTAAAACTTTAGCAGGATTGCTGAGATATTACAGTTACCTTAAAGTATAAATGAGTTTTAGGTCAACTCCTAAATGCTGGAAGTGATTTTGTGCAGATACGTTACAGTATCAAAAAGTGTTTGTTGACAGAGAATAAACTAAGGGGTCAGTTAATTGAAAAAAAACAGTAAACAATTCAACTATTGTTTTGCTTTATTAACTTATGAAGTATAAAAAGGATTTGACAAGTGGCAGCAGAAAGGATTCAGAAGAGTGACGACTTTCGCAGCATGGCCAGTTTAAGACATTTTGCTATTGGGATACTAGTCTAAGAATAATAACGATTTCCTGGTAAAAAGTGGCATTTATTTCATTCCACAAATAAAGAAGGGAGAACCGTTCAAGTGGGATGCACGTCAAATAAACTGTAGTTTAATCATAGCCATTAGCAGTTTTGCTTTAAAGCTAGTGCCACAACTTTTTTAACTAGTCGTCATGGACTAAAGATGCTTTATAAACTTAAGCAAATGGTATTTCATTCTGCTAGATAATTGGACGCGTCTAACCTATTTTGAAATCTTGACATTACCAGTTAATTGATTTTGATTTATCTAGATAAAACTGAGCTTGTGCAAAAATTAAGCCTAATGATCATGGTGAAATTTTGGAATAATCAGCCCCGTGTGCTCATTTTAAGTCATTTAATAATTTCGCGACTGTTTAATTTGAAGGTTGGTCGAGCCTACTTTTAAGACTGTCATGTGTTCCACTCTGTGCTACCAACAAATAAATGCTTGATTTAAATTTCACTGTATTAGAAGCCTAGCTTGGTATTGTTTGCTTACGTGGTATCGGCTTTGACTTCAGTTTTATGACTAAAATGCATAGCTACACAGCTGCATGTATTCATTGATCGTTTCGTAGACCCTGGTTAAATGAATATTCTTAGTATCGCTCTACTCCGAGCATGGGTATTCTTGATGTGGAACGCTCAGCAACTTATTGCTTATATTCGGGGTAAACGGAGCGTCTTCATCCCCATCACCGATCTGCGAATAGTTTACTGCGACAACGGCCTTCTTGTTGTGGACAAGTCCCATGAACTGCTGCTAAACAGTATACACCCCTGGCAGAATTATGTGACCCTTCAAATGCAGGTGTGTGAAACCTGTCATTTTTCACTATTTCCTAGCTCTTTTTTGCACTGCCCCGACTCGCCGACTTCACACTAGACCATATGTATCGATTCGTCCATCGTCTTGATGCTCCCACCAGTGGTCTCATTTGCATCGCCTATTCGCCAAAAATGGCCGGCCTAGTAAGTTTTTTACGCTCAGATACTGTAGGAAAGACAACTCGCTTATACCGAAATATCACCTATTAGGCGGCAAAGGCATTTCAAAATAGGACTACCAAAAAGCTCTACATAGCAGTTGTATGGGGGCATGTCCAAGATTCTACGAGTCTGGATAGAGCTCGTCTACCCAGGTCTGACTATCTTCCAACTCTCAATATCAACGTCTCGCACTGTACCGAAATGTGCACAAAAACAGGAGATATGGAGTATCTGGTGGACTTTGCGATTGGAGATCTACTGTTCTCATGGCCAGAGGGTCGCCGGCAGAAGATCATGGTTCCGGATTGGACGCCTAATTGCTGGGTAAGGAGTTATTTGAAAGACTACTCAAATCATCTCGTCATTGGGAACGACCTGAAAAGTATCTGTGAATGAAGGATTGTTCCCCCGAAGTTGGGCCGTCTAAACCGTTAAACGGTAACGGCATTTTCCTAATGCAAGTTTCGGACTTTTTGATTTTGTTTACATAATACCTTAACGTACGAGTGCCCTTACAAATTATTGAAAATGTAGGCTGTTGAATCGGGAAGCTAGTAATGTACCGGTTTTATTGAAGCGTAGAACGTGAGCTATCTACGTAAATGGAATAAGGCCTAGAAGTTTAGAAGTATCCCCTATAACTTCAATGAAAGCTTAGAGAGCTACTGGTACAGATGAAGTTGGCATAATCTCGTGCCAATACTGTGGAAATCTGTAAGATGTCGCGTAGTCAAATATACAATGGAAACAGATATTATTATACCGACTAGACCCTTTCATGCTCATCGTTGTTCACTTCGCCCTCCTTGCCCACTCTTCTGCTTCAACTATCATTTATCTTCAAGAAATTGTGATTAGTCGAAAACCAGGGATGAATTTAGTCCAAATTGATCCAAAAACGGACACGAATGCTGCTTGTTTGATTGGTAGTGTTGGTTATCGATGATTTTGACGGGATTTCTAAAATATCACGTCGTTTCTAGTTGGACAACACTATAGCATTCATTTGGGAGGTGGTACTGTGGATCAAACAAGGCGGGTTCCGTATGGAAATAGCTCTTTGTGGGAAAGTCTGACTCTGACATTATCAATAGCGCCCTGAAGACGAGTCAGGTCTGTTCCCCCTTGCTGTCCGTTAGTCATTACTCGAGATACAGATGGTCTTCAGAATTTGACAGTCGTTCTGTTTTGAATCTCCACAAATTCAATTATTCACAGCAAATGCCTTCGTCTTATGATGCTTTGGCATGGCACCCAACCAGCCGTCGATGCTTTAGACCAGGTTCGTCAAAGCTGCGACCAGTGTAGCACCTGAGTTATTTCTGAGAACGTTAACTTGTACGAGTCTGAAAGCACTCTTGCTGAGAGACTACTAACATGGGTATATTTCCATACTACCAACGTGGTGGCTCGATTGAGGGCAACTGGTTCAGCGTCTAAGTTACCTTTGGGAATGCGGAAATCTCTATAATGTATGCTACAATGCGCCAAAGTATGGCTCAATTTTTATTAAAGTATTCAGGTGCAGTCAACGAGCACATAAACATGCGGAATCGTCGACATTTATCTGCTTTACACGTTTAGCGCCCTCGATCCGCGCAGACCAAAGTAACGGTCCTGAAACACGGCTTTCTCGAAGGTTCACCAGCCAGTCTACTTCTGCTCGAACCGCACTCTGGTCGTAGGCACCAACTGCGTCTGCACTGCGCCTTGGGCCTACGCGGCCACCCAATCGCCGGCGATCTCCTCTACGGCCGTCTCTATGGCGATGGAGATTCTGTGGAAATCATAAAGGACCACCGTCTGCCGCGTCTCATGCTCCATGCGTACTCCCTCCACCTTGAACTCGTGCCAAAACCGCCCCGTGTGAAGGGGGAGAAGAAACAGGAGCGGGTCGATGGAGCCCATCCCCAACCGGTGGAGCTCTACTTTGAGTCTTCGCGCGATATGCTCCAAGGCTGCCATTGGGTCGATGCTGCCGTGTTTCATAGCTTGTGAATAGCACTTTTCTTTTGGCTTCTACGGCCCTGACATCTTCCATCTCCTACTACCACAGGAAATTTGTAGTTCAGAGTTTGGTACATTGTTTTTTTGTACTGAGATTCGGAAGTTCTCAGTAGAATAAATTGATGCACAATGATGTTTGCACTCTGGATTAACCTTTTACTGGGTTCCACGTATTGTCAATTTATTCTAGACGCTAGATGGAGTGCTGCAAATCTGTTCCAAATTTTGGTTTCTGATTCTTAGTGCATAAGCGCAATGGCTTTCGGAATTGACAGGAGGAATAAGGCACTATTGTTACACCGAATTTGGGAGGCAACATGGAAGACCTTTTAAGGCGGCAGTTACGTGTTCGCCGCCAGCGTCACATGGGACGTGCCTATCCGTTCAAGATAACCGTCTGCGAACAGATGGGCGCAAAGTTCCCCCGGCCTGAGACACCATTACGTGTTTTTTTTAAACATCACACCTCCAGACGGCGCTGGGTAGGCATCTTCTGAGTGCCTGGTGGTGAACGCATTCGACTCAGTGCAATGCTACATTTGAAATTGACTTCGATTAAAGCATTTCCCAAATCATGACAAAAAGCACCGGTAAAAAACATCTACTTGCAGAAGTACTCGCCAAATGTTGATAGCAATGAGTGAATTTTGTAGAGATAGATATAAATAAAGAAAAGATGTATCAATGGACTCGAATCTACACTATCCCTCAAAGTAGTAGGCAAAAATTGGCGATAGTTTCAGATTGAATTCATCAATAAAAAAAGATCCATTATCACATAAAACCAAAAGTGTCAAATGATTGTACAGAACAGACGCCGCAATAAATGAAATGACCGATAAAGTAGACACTAGAAATGAGTGTTCTCTTGAATATTTGCGTCTATCTGTTGGTCGATTTTGAAGCGTTACAGCAAGGTAGTTTTCACGATCTACAACGAAGAATCCCCTCTACAGCTTCTCATCCAACAAAAACAAGCATTATAGTCAACCACCTTTCTGGGGGTGCATTTTGAACAAACCACAGAACTGGGAGGGCGAAGGGGTTTCAGGTACATAAGCTGACATACCTTTCACTATCATTTGGGGTTCTTAACCTTCTGGTTCTCCATCTACTTAAAGGCGTACCATTGGTCGCATCACGTTCGCCATCACGGCGAAAAAAATTGACCACTGAGACCGTGCGTGGCGGCTCCTTAGGTGGTGGAAGAGCACGTGGTGTCATTTGATCCAGCCGACTGCAGGGGGTTAGCAGGGTTGGAGTTACAGCTGCAAACCTCGTCACAACACGCGGCGTGCGAAGTCGACTTGGTGTAGCCGGCGTTGGGGTCGATGGGGTAGTATGAAGGCTGTCCATTTTTTGTAGCTACGATGCAACAGATTTACTGAGCGATAGCTCACACAGGTTTGTCAGGCTTTGAAAGTAGGATGAAACTCACCCTGCGTGCGACAGGAGCTCGACCGACAGGCGTAACGAAGATCGTTTCGCCTTTAGTGGAGGTGGGGGATACCGATTGATTGCTCTTGAGGACAGAAGAGGAGGAGAAGGAGGAAAGGCTTGAGGTTATCATTCGATCATTTGATGCATCTTGCGAAGTCGTTGCCTTGTCCGACTAAATGAGAAGCACGTAGAGCTACTTTAATTTGAAGATAAAGTAGTAAAAGTGGTGCTCATGTAAGATTTCACTTAGAGATCTAAATCGGAAGTCAGCTAAAGCTCACCCTTGGCTGCCATCCTGAGGTCGCCGCATTCTTGGGGCCTGGAGCATTTCTATTCTCAATTTCCGTTGCGCTGTTACCCATTGGAGTGAGACGATTAACGTTGCTACGCCGATGTCTAAAAAGATCTACCACTGAGACTGGACAGGATGGCTCCTTAGGCAGTGGGACAGCTCGTGGTGTTAGCCGGTTCAAATAACTGCAAGAGGCCGATGCCTTCGGAGTGGTTGTACCCTTCTATTTGGGTCGGTGAAAGGAAAAGCGTTAGTTGGGACACCTTTAAAGCATCGATAAGATGGAAGGCAATAACCTTGCGAGCTGTAGGGGCTCGACCAATGGGTGTCGCGAAGATGGAGTCACTTTTTACTGAGGTAGGGGATACCGGTTGGTGTGTGCCAAGGTTAATGTCTCTGTTATGAACCCAAAGACTAGAATAACTGGAGGTCAGATCGCCTAGGCTTGAACTCCCATCAAACTACAGTAAAAGAAGTAAAAATATGGTGAGTGACGCGAATAACCTTGAAACAGGTGAAATCTTATGTTTTAATAGGTCGAATTAACCTCAACGTGTTTGGAAAGAGGGATAAATATCACATTACTCACATCTGAAACTTTTACCATAGTTTTTGAGAAGATCGATAATTAAAGTCAAGATAAAACAAACTATCATGGTTGCTAGTTGATACAGAACAAATCCAGTAAAAACACATTTGCGAACAATGGAACATCAATACCCAATTCCCAACGACTAACATACCCATGACACAGTAGTTTTAGTCGACGAAGCCCCTAAACCTGTTGGGGTCTTCAGTCCACTCGAAGCTTGGGCAGGCTTGTTGCCACCACAGCCGAAAAGATCTATCACTGATATCGGACGTGGCGACTCTGCAAGTAGCCGAACAGCCCGTGGAGTCATATGCCTTAACCTTCCACAAGAAGCAGAGAAACCCGAATTTTTTGAGGCAGAATCCACCATAACACGCGGTGCACGAAGTCGACTTAGCGCAGCAGCCTTCGAAATTGATGAAATACTTGGAGAACCAGAAGCGCCTACTTCGTCTCTCAGTTTGGGCCATTCAACCTATTGCAAAACATCTTTATTACTCCTCGTCCTGAATAGTTCTCGCACAGAAAATTGCTCCTCCTAGCAGAAATTAGCCCCATGCGACTTTGGGCCACCAGATTGCGAAAAACTCGACAGGCGCTGATTGAAAATGTGACCAACCTTCTGAATGGCGGGCTTTTGATCGATGAGGGCAGCAGAATTGAAAACCGCTGAAGCTGATTGGTTTTTGTCGGGGAAGGGACTCTTAAACCGAGAATAAAAACCAGGTCGCAAGTTTGCACCACCTGAACGAGCTCGGACTGTGGAAATAGCCGATTTTGGCGACTAAATTGTAGGAAATATCAATTTAAAAGCATAACTTCAATTAAAGTTGTCGAAATAATTAGTACTGGCAAAAGGACTTACTTGATTAGGTTTCAATATAGATTTTCGAGAATAATTTCCAGCTCTGGTGGCGTTAGAAGTACGCAGAGACATGACAGATTTCGACAGAAGTCTAAATTAAGCAGAAAAACAACACAATGCGAGTTTAGCTCAAAAACCTGGATGTTTGGTAACACAAGGCTGTAAACATCTACTTACTGAGCCTGCTTTTCTGGGCTGAGCCTCTGTGTTCCTGGTGGAGCTCGATCAGCCTCCCTTCTCGCCTCCTCAACGTACACCTTGGCGGGAAGACCAAAGACCTTGAAATCCTCACTTTTGTGCGCCACTGAAAACAAGAGCTTCTCAAGTTGAGGAAGAATCCGCTCCCTGATTGAGGTGGCTTCCCTTTCCAGTTTGAAAAGATCCTTACTTTGTGTCGGTAGATGTTTTGATTCGTATAGCTGTCCCTATAAATAGATATTAAGCATAGATAAGATCAAGTAGACACGACCAGGCTTTAAATTCGTCCTCAAATCTACGCTTACCGATCCCTTTCACTCATTTTAACCTGTATCTTGTGTTCCATTTGTAAAATAATTTTTGTAATCAGCTCCACAGTACACGGGACAGAGTTGAGTGCATGCACGTTATGCAGACCCTCCTATTTAAGCATCAAGCTTCTCTCTACAGCATAATTCCCTACTTTCTTTTGGAGATGGACCACAGCAACCATTAGGAGCACTTAAAAACAAACACCTTATTATCCTAAGGAAGTCCTCCACAGGATTATTGCTGAACACTGAAAACGAGTTTACTAGAATGAATTTAATAAAATCTTTGTAGAATCATGTATACGAAAGTATGTCGAGGAGTAGTAGTACGCCTGCACCAAAGGATCACACCAGACTATTTAGGAGAACATATATAGCGGAATCAAATTGGTTAGAAAGGACTACTACACCTCAACTTGAAGTAGACGAGCGAATGATGCGCGCCACGAATAGAAAGCAGCAATCGCGTCAGTGTGGAGGGTGCGATAGTCCTGCCAATCCTTGATTTGATTTTCCAGGTGCTCTAGATACACCTCATCCAACGAGCTTTCGTTGGGATCCAGTGGGTAAAGCTCACGTATACATGGATCTACCAAACATTCATCAAAAAGTTTGTGTAAATCGAGCAGGTTCGACCTGATTGCCTCCTTCAACCTTTCAGTCTGTGCGGACTCCCTAATCTAAATGGGGAAGGATACTTAGCACAATTTTGAATCCCACAACAACAGCAAACATAATTCTACAAGCCTTACAGCTGCAACACGCTTCTTTAAGCTCAGAAAAGTTGAGATGCTTGTATTTGTTGAGTTTTCGTCACATGTGCCTGAGGACAAGGTAAAGTCGTCATTTTTCCCAGTAGTAGCATCGCTTTCTATGACTTGATTGGATACCTTGTGATTGCACGTTTCAGCATATCGCTGTGCCTAAATATTTACATAAAGGACGTTGAAAAAGATTAAGTACCAGCTTTATGAGGAGTTCGTTAATATCATGTTCGATTGCCTCGAGTAATTGTGGTGAAGGGGCATAATCATAGGTGTAATGCTTAAGAGGTCTGCCCAATGCCTTACTGAGGCGTTGATGTTCAGCTGCTAGGGATCTGAAACGATCGATCCGGCTTGACACCATAACTGAAAGATGTTTATAAGCCTCTGCCAAATTTCGCTCGCGTACAATAAGAGGGAGATTGTGCTGCAGTGGTTTTTCCTTCAAACCGAGAATACTATTTAGCTTACTGACTTTCACCTTAAGAAATTTAAAAGGTTATCTTAAGCATAAGCACAAACCTCCATTTCGTCTACGACTGAATGAAGATGAGCAACAGATCTTTCTTCCTCAGATATCATATTATCTAATAACATGTCCAAGTGTCGCTTTAGTATGCACTTGCGTTCTTCGTAGGGCTTTTCGTCAAGACCAATATCATCCCATATTTTTAAGAGATGATTGACCTTTTCTTTTAAATCAGCAAACAAATACTCGATCCATTTTTCGTTCTTCGAGAAGGCAATTCGACTGAGGGGGGAAAAACTTTGGTATGCATCTACCGAAGGCCGAGGACAAGAAACAAATCCACTACTTCCAACAGACATATTTGAAAGTGCCGCACAGGTAGGAGAAATTAAATGCGGATAAGACCAAACTCTGCAACGGATAAACCCCAATTGGTTCAGTCAACCAAGAAATTGTACATCAAACTTTTGAGTTATGATTCTCTTGTTTTTAAGGACATTGTACTTGTAATGATGGTAGCGAACGTTGTTCTGCTAACCCCCATAATCAGATGATAAAAGCGATACTGCTATAATTTTGAATAAAAAGCGTGTGCGAAATAGACTTGGTTATGCCATAAGTCTTATACTTTTCAAAACTTCACTTACGCTAGCACAGTTTGAAGGCAATGAATTGCCACAATTGCAACAACAGTGGTTCCTTTACTTCAAGACATAGTTATTAGATTTTTCGCGTGTGTGTCACTACAGTGTCCTTTGACTTCTTTAAAGACGAAGAGACATACTGATGGAGAAGAATGTGTGACGCTGACTTTTAAAATTGCTAGGGGCTGTGAGCGTGGCTGGAGGCCAGCCCATGGGGAATGTATAGTTGCGGAGCCCTAAATGGTTCGTTACCAAAACCGAGAGTTAAATGAACAAGTAAAGTATTGAATTTCATATTCACATCATCAGTATAATATGTCACACAATGCAGCTAACTTTGCTACCACATTGCATTTACAACATGTTAAGAAACATCTTCATTAAGATTTTGTGCAGCAAAATGAATCAAATTGCTCCCATACTGCAGTATTTTGATAAGTCTTCATATTTTTTGGTTTTTCTGGTACTTTGTGGTCCATGCTTGACATTCTGCTGGGCAGCATAGCCTCCAACTCCCGCCAGTAGCTCCTAAGCCCCTGCATATGTTGTCCAAAACATATTCAGGCCTAGCATTATGATTTTTTTCGTAACTAGGAAATACTCAGGGTTCTACATTAATAGCAACGGAAAATAAACCCTACTCAAAGTACAAATGCCCAGATTTCTACTGCTGAGTGCTAAAATTTAAAGGAACGGAAGAAGTGCATAGGCGGCAGGTGGGACAAACTGTGGTGACTCCTCATAGGAAGGCTAAAAATGATGCCTGCCTTCGGCAACTACCCCAATTTCGTGTTATGTGGGAGTGTCTATAATTGACATGGCAATAGCGTGTCTGTGTATCATCTAGATAAGTTCTTTAAGGAGCCATCTACAACACATCTATATGAACATGTAAATGAAGGTAATAGACCACATCTCCCTCAAATCCTTACAGAAAGGGTAAAACCTCGGTAGATTTGGCTAGGCAGCGCTAAAATGAAAAACAATTGGATAGAGAAACAGACACGAAATGCTGCACCCGAATAATTATTTTGAATACATTTTTATTAAAAGACTTTGCTTAAGAGCACTGTTTTAAAAAATAGCAGTAAACTTGTGCAATGGCCTGCACAGTTATCCTCCACCTATACAGTTCCCAGACAGGACGGATATGGAGAGCCAGTAGAATCACCAACAAAGATCGATGATGCTGTGGTCAGATACCCTTTAAATTGCAGGCAAATTAGATTCCTGATGTAATTATTTCATGCGTATTCCTCTTACAGCACCGACTATCTTGTAATGACCGACGCATGAAGTTAAAGGAAGCAACGGAAACAACGCTCAAAATGAGAGGGGTCTTTTCAATGCTTTGATTACTTGTCAAATACTTCATTTTTGTTTTGTGAGCATTAGAGGCCAAAACTCTGTGTTTTGCATAGCGGCGCGGCTCCCGAACTACACCGGTAGCCTCATACCTCGGCAGTACAATCTCTGCTCTAGAATTTTTATTCCTTTCGCCTTTGGGAATGACACATGGCACTGCTTAAGGGCTAGAAATCTTGTCCACAGACCAAGTGTTAACTTTAGGCATCAAAATCATGACCAAGATTTAGAAACTAGGTGTGGTTGTTGTAGGTAATTTGAATTTAATTTAAGAATCGGATGCTTGAGTCGAATGCATAGATAGGCAGGATTTTTCACTAATTCTATTTGTAGCCCTCTAAAAATAATCAAAACCACTAATGGGTACTGTAGGTAATTTAAGTGCTCATCATTCGCTCCTTGGTAGCATGTAGAGATAGTGCCATTTGCTTCCCAAAAACACATATTAAACTTTGTTTTTTCCTTTTATTTATTCTTGCTAGGTTTCGTATGAATATTTTGCTTTTACTTAGTGATTTTTTGAAAGGTTTTATTTGTTTAAGCTTTTCAATTATTTATTTCTGGCGTCTTCAAGGATTTGGATGCGTTTTGGAACTAGGCCCATGTTTTCACTTACGTAGATTAAACGGATACATGAGCAAAAAACGAAGTACTCCGCTTTATAACTAGGCCAAAAAGAGTAAGATTTTTAGTGAAACAATTTTTTGGGTTTGCGACTGCAAATTATAAGAGACATGGGTAATAATTTCCTCCGGTAATCAACCCAAGAACTTAAGATTAAAACAAGCTAGTCTAATTTAAATTAATGGTGCACTTTTTTAAGCCTTTGCATTTGTGGAGGAAGTCTTTTTTTGCAGTAACATGCCTGACAAACCTACTTCATTTGTGCTCATTACTTTGGAAAATCTTTCGCATTTGTAAGTAGATGGGTGCCCTAAGTAGCCAGCAGTTTTTTATATCATTGAGCACCTATGGCGTATTGATTGCTTCAGTTTAATGCATTTTGGATTTTGATTATAATTTTTTTTGCTTTTACAGATTATTTTCACAATGGCTTCCAAGCCCCCCAAAATGCAGTGCACTCCACAAACATTACACTTTCTTATGGAGTTAAGGGGAATAGAGGCAGCAAAATTTATTGAAAGAGAGTTTAATGGATATGCCAGCTTAGCGAAATTTTTATCTAGTTCGCCAATAACAGGTAGTCAAATTTCTAAAGTTGCGTATTTTCGAAATCAAGCATTCAAGTTAGAGTTCTATTTCTTGCTAAAGTGAATGTTACAATTGGATATTGTTTATTAATATCAGCTGGAGGACTCTTTTAAGAATTGGCCAAAATTTTACAATGCATTGTGTTTATTTTAAAACAACCAACAATACATAATCGATTGACCTAAATAATACTAGAGGAATTTTCCTAGGATTAAATGAGTCCGAGGTGGAAAAGCAGCGCCAACTGTACGGAACAAACGTTATTCCCCAGAAACCACCAAAATCCATATTTCGTCTGGTCTGGGAGGCTTTGCAGGATATCACGCTTCTGGTTCTTATTGGAGCTGCAATTGTCTCGTTATCACTCTCCCTGTACATGAAATGTAAGTATTAGTTACCTTTACTCAATAGGGATTTTCAGATCATTATTAAGAGCATCACGTATAACGATCTAGAAATACATAAGTAATCATGCTTACCATTTTAGGAGGTCTTTAAGAGACCTTAGTTGATTTATAGCAAAAGAATAATGCGCATTTTAATGCATAGTTTAGGAGAAAGAACCAGCATTTTTGTACATTCATGAAAATGTGCTTCAGTAAAACACAAAATCATGTAATAACCTAATCAATAAAATGATGCTCAAGCATTAAATTGTACTGCAATTTATTCGAAGCAAATACATTTCGTAATAGTTCTACAATGGACCATTTGGGTGTATGGCATGGAACATCCTTTTTGCACACTTGAGCAATTTAGGATTATACAGTGTACGAAACACAACTGATCCAAGTTACTAAACACATACTTTAATATACCTCTTTTTTTGATTTAGCAAAAAGTGGAAGTTTAGCCTAAATAGTTTTTCATTTTTCGTGGTTTTGAGATGCTTTAGAGCTACTATACATACCTATTTATTCAGAGGGAAATAGGTATTGCCCAGCATCGAAGTTAGACAATTTACGATCTGAGGTAATAACGCGTTTGAGTCTATCTTTAAAATAGAGAGAGGATATCTGTCTGAACCCTGATAATTAGAGACTAAGAAAGTGATAACTTGCCTTCCCTAAGTAGGATCAAGCAGGTTATCAACTCAAGTTTTAAAATGGAACCCTCCTAGATAACTGGTACTCATTCTGATAGACAGAGAGTTAAATAATATGCAGTGTTCCTGCAAAGCGCGTAGCTGGGAGGGTTTCATATATTTATTATTCCTTATTTCCTTTCTATTTAAAACCTTAAGCAAATAATTACTGGTAACTGCAGCTGAAGGTGTATTACAGATTGATGTGTTTTCCATAGTTGAAATAACTTGTTTTAAATGCTGAGGAGCGAATACTTCGGTATTCTTCAAAGAAATGTTTGCATCTTTACCAAATTTAATGTAGTAGCTTAGCATCCTAAACGCATTAATATTTGATTATCGCTTAAGAATTTCACCAACGTACAAATTTATGACTACTTCTAGTAAATAAGCAAAAGGTATTCGAAGTTATAAATATGAGTAGTTTGTCCATAAACAAATAATTGAATATCTGAATATGTATGCTGTAAATGCTTTATGATAAAATCACCGACCTATTTTACTCTGCAGTCAACCCTTCCCCTAATCATGATGGAACCTCAGAAAACGAGACAGGATGGATAGAAGGTGCTGCCATACTAGTGGCTGTCGTTGTTGTGGTGGTCGTGGTAGCAGTCAATGACTGGCAAAAGGAAAAACAATTCCGTGGACTTCAGAGTCGCATAGAGGCTGAACAGAAGTTTACTGTCCTGCGTGATGGAATAATTAAGGAAATTTCCATAGCTGATATTGTGGTTGGTGACCTCTGCCTTGTTAAATATGGTGAGATATTGCAGTTATCAATCATAGCGGTCATCGGATGATGTAGTAGTGACGACAAGTGCAAATCACTTTTTTCTTTAAAAACAATCCCAAAGTTGCAATAAGATTCGAAGAAAAGTCTCGCTAAGGTGTGAGCGTGTCACAAATATTAAAAGAGTACACTTTAGAGGACAATGATGGGGATTACTGTATAATTCCTGCTTTACTAAGGAATGGCGTTTGCGAAGGTGCTGTTTTGTAAGGGCTATCAAACTTCGGGCCTGAGGTACAATCACACAGTGAAAAAAACATCACTAATTGGCAACATCAGATTACCGAAGCTCAGAGTATGTTAGACTTTGACCACTGTTAGATTCGGATTTTACCGTGCCTATAGGGAACGATTAACAAGTACAATTTCTTAGCATGTTAGTGACAACTTCAAATACGAAGTGTGCCATTAAATTGCAGTTAGAGTGAAGAAAAATAATTACCACGGCTTCAACTTGTGGTTAAATCAGATCATGATTTGTACTTACCTCGTCAGGTATGCTTAAACACGGAAGTGATCGTATTTTCTAGTCCAAAAGCAACTAGCAAGAATTAGTAAAGTAGGAATTTTAAATTAATTCATGGTTTTATCAATAACGCCTTAACCTGATCTGCTAATCAGAATGAGAGTGAATAAAATAAACTTTAACTTCTTCCTCTGCCTACTACAATAATAAATTATTTTATAGAAAGGTCTCGGACCATATGTGCTGCTCCATTTCCTCATAGGCCCTACAGAAGTGTCAAGGAGGTAAAGAAATTTTTAAATAATATCTCTAAGTCGATAAATTCCCAGCGAGTACTAGTCCGTACGGATAAGATTGCCTTCCTACTCTTTTGCGCTTCTATGATTAAACGAGAAGGGATTTTTCCCCTTAGAGGAATCAGTGTGATTTAATGAACAAAAAAGTGTGCAGATCACAGATTAGCGTTTCAGACAACTACAGAAACTCAATGTAGGGATTGTGATGATGCTTAAAGGCGGCCAGCCACGGAGAGAGCCATTAGTCTTTACAAAATGGCCCCTAGAGACTGCGGAGATCCGTGCGGTGTTCAGACTAGGTTTGGATTATCTACCTTTGGACCCAGCATTGCCGCTACTTTCCCCGTAGTTGGCATTCAGTGGAGGCCAGAATGGTTATACTAACATTGCAGACCTGAAGCCGGCTTTGGTATGGCAATACTAAGTCCAGAAGGTGAAGAATCCTTTAGTAAGGTGATCAGGCATACAGATGTACTAAAATTCTTTCAAATATTGATACGTATTGGAGAAATCTTGTAAATTTATCGTAACTAGTGATTTTCAAAATATTTGCGTTGAATGAATGCAGACTACAAGGGCAAAGTTAATTTACTTATTCCAATACTGCCCACATTATGAATCTTTAATCATTATTAAATTGTAATGAAAAGGGTGAAAAGTGGTTTTTGAGCGGGGAATAATTACCAATCCTTCCATTTAAATTTTTTTAATTTAAGGCTGGTCATTATCAACATCGTCATCAAAAATATGATCCGAATTAAAGTTCGGAAAAAGGATAGCTAATTTCTAGGTTATGCGACTGGAATAAAGCTGTAGCGAAATTTTAAACAAGTTACTGTTGACTTTTCATTGAATACGTCTGAAGGTTTGATTAAAAGTGCATTCCGAAACACTAAAGAGAATTGGAAATATTATATGAAAGCTAATTATTTGACTTTCTTAGGAGACCTTTTACCCGCTGACGGGGTGGTGATCCAATCCACTGACCTGAAAATTGACGAGAGTTCCCTCACTGGCGAATCAGATCACGTGAGAAAGAGCACAACGTTGGATCCAACACTGCTCTCGGGTGGGTCTCTTTCCATCATGCTATAATGTCTTTATTTTCTTAATACGGAAGTGTATTGTCGGTGCTATTCACAAAGCTACCATTGAGACATGGGCATAAAAGTGGTATCATTAGTAACTTAAAGAAACACTGGGAAGTTACCAGCCTAAGTAGCATGGAGACTGAATCACGGAGGGCTACAAGGACCCAAAAACTACTATAATTGACAAAAACGAATGTCATTTTTAGGAATAATTTATTCTTTTAGGCCTCGCAAAATGATTTTAAATCTCACCACGGAGATTTCGGACTTCAAAGGCAAATGCATTTCATCCTCTAATTAAAAGTGCGATCCCACAGTGAGAGCTTCTCCAATAGCAATCGCATTCCATTGAAACATTTACCAAAATCAAAAGCACTTAATTTGGATTGCTTTCTGGAGGGATTCTCTCTATTTTCTTCCAGTTTCATTTTATCCACTAAAGTCATTCCGGAAAAAATTCTAACATTTTTGATTAAACATTCGATGCACTGTTTTGGTCCCTTAAATGCTGGTTTTACTCCATTGGTGGCCATGCTGTCTGACTTCAGATTTGGGTAATTGCTACAGGCCATCTTGAATTCGGTGACCACTCTGTCGTTTGTAGAGATCCACAACAAATGCACTCCTTTTACGACAGCGCGGTAAAAACTATCATGCTCTTGCAAGAGGTAAAAGATTCAAACAAATCGTTTGGTGCTGCTAATAATTTTGTTATCCCTGAAGCCCCTGAAAAGAATAGAAGTGTGCAAATGTCTTCTCCATCCAAAAAAATTACTACCATTTGTATTTTTGAAGGTGGGAAGAATGTTGGTGTAATCCCAAGCCCAAAAGTGTGGATCACGTTAACCATTGTCTACGCATGCGTGCTCATAGTCTATAGAAGGCAAGACCTATTAATAAAACCCTCTAGGCAATAAACACGTGCACACAAAAATCGGGTATTCGGTTAACATTTACTGCTGCGCACTTTTGGCCTCATGTGAAACCCACCCTTCATTTTCTGTCGCGCCTAAAAACTACTTTAACAACGCTAAATAGGCACCTTTCCTAGACCTGAAGGGAAGCGCTTTTACATTTTATCCATTTAAATACTAGATTTCATGCAGTGATTTGCTTGAAACGCACTTTATTATCACGTTGGGATATGCGGTTTTATGAAATATTGTGGGTGCGGGAAACATAAAGTTCGTTTAAAAAGCAGCTGTCTCTTTTCGTCGATCAACAAGACCTTTTTTCTATAACAATTATTTGAGTGATTAAGACCTCGCCTGGACTCCAACAACCAATGATTTTTGTTGGCAACAGGGGGGATTTATTCTTAGACCAGCAGATCATATTTTCTGCAGGAATTTCCACGAGCATCTTCCAAATGCCTGCCATCGGCGCAAGCAGCTTCTATTTGATTAAATAAACACCATCTTCTCATACCATAAATCTGCTCGTAAAATTGTTTTGATGTCAGAATATTGGACACCGGTCTTTAAGCTTCAAAAGAAATCTATTTTATTAAAATTACATGCGCTATTTCTGAGGTTGCAAAACGAGTCCATTAATTTCAAGGAACCCACGTAATGGAGGGTTCGGGCCGGATGCTGGTAACCGCGGTGGGAAAAAACTCGCAAGCAGGAATAATCTACTCCCTCCTCAATAATATGCACGGCGATCTTCCAGAAACAACTCTCCAGCTAAATTCTATCAGCAACACCAAAGGTAAGCCAGTCACCGTCACTTTGTTGTCAAATTTGCACTCAATCTTCTGCCTTCTACCTAAATTCTCAATCTTGTAGGGGAAAGTGCATTAGCGCCTGTCAGCTTCTAGCCCAAAAAACTGGGGAGAATAAGGGGAATGGACTCTAATTGTTTAACCTAATAAAAATTTCTAAATTGTGGAAGTTTTGTAGTTCAGCTCCATCATCTGGGATTTTATACAGATCCGGCTTACAAATCCGCAATGATGCAATATTCATAAAATTCCTTTCAAATAGAGCAACGAAGTTTGCTATCGAATGTGTAGTTCCTCAGTATACGGTGAATTTTCTTCCTCTCTTATTAACTGACATACATCGCGGCAACGCAGTTAGAAACATCGTGGAAATTCATCCGATTCCCGTATACCTCCCTTCTTATAGGCAGAAATCATGATAGTAAAGTAACGTTTCTTTAAATGTTCAATGTGCCTCCTTCTTTCAGCTTCAAAATATGCACATTTTGAGGGCATTACTCAATCGAATTGCGAAAAGGTTTAATTATTGTTACTAGGAAGTGCTATAACCTAACCTAGTCTAACCTAGACATCGGTAAGAAACACTATCAAAAGTCGAGGCGTATCATGCAGATTTTATGGCATATAGGTACAAAATAGCTGACTTGCAGTTCATTTAATCTCTAGGATATTATCGTTGAATTTGAATGGGCTAAAGATATACCAGTTTTTTGGCTAGATTAATCCATCCTAGGCACTTTAATCACTACTGCTTACTTAAACACCCTTTAGTCAGATATAAAAAATTAAAACAAGTTAAGCTTAATTAATTTAACCCACTTTTCCAGATAGATATTCAGACACTGTTTCATGCCCTCTTTTATCTTTTCAGGCACGTTGGATACAATAGTAGAGAAGGGCGCAGAGGACGCTTCAAAGGGTAAAATTTATCTTTTGCTCTCTAACAGAGGTAACTGTTTCGTTGCAGGATATGAAGAATGTTTGCCTACAGCAGTAGAAATTACGAAGCCCAAGGAGAACAAGTCCAAACTACGGACTCGTGAGATGTCCGTCCTGCAGTTGAAGTTGACCAAACTCGCCATTCAAATAGGCTACGTTGGTGGGATGACATCATTTCCTGGTTATTTTCTTTCATTCTCTATTTAGGCACAGTTTTGGCGGTGGCTACAGTAATGATTTTAATAATCAAATTCTGCATAATCGAGTTTGGCCACAAGAAAGAAGCCTGGAATACGGGCAGACATCTGAAGCATTTCATCCACTTCTTCATAATCGGCGTCACGATTCTTGTGGTTGCTGTGCCTGAAGGTCTTCCATTGGCAGTTACTCTCTCTCTCGCCTATTCGGTCAAGAAAATGATGAAAGTATGTAACCAGTGGAACTAAGGTTTACTTTAAGTTATTGCTTCATTGAATGCTCTTATCACGAGGTCGTTAACGAGAACTTGGTGTAATAGCTGAAGGAGTCCAATTAGACTAATCAAGTGGGCTTCGTCGTAGGATCCTGCGATCCAATCAGGGGAACCACTATGTGGAATTTTACCCAGAGGCTGACCCTCCTATGCACATAGCCCGCATAACATCATGATTTTTTCTACCTGCTAGGAAAGGGAGCATTTTCGTTGCTGGTGTATGCATAGGCAAATCAAGTGTGCCTTGATTTTATCATGGAGGATGAGGAAAAAGATTTTTTCCGGTATTGTAGAAAACAACCTAATTTTGCTTGAGGTATCTTAGTGCCAGAATAAAAGAACAAAAGTTTACCTTTTTAGATGGTTTTATATGTGCGTACTCGTTATCTTTAAATCGGTTGAATATTTCAAATTTGTATAATGCAAATGCTTCACTCAGGTATATTCCACGAACTTTGAAATGAGCAGTGAAATATCGTGTTATGAACACTTACTTAAACCATTAAGGCTTTACCAATTTGAAAAACAGAACTTGTGGTCACATTTCCTTCGAGTTGTTTCAATCAGAAACAACTTTCAAAAATCTATTCGATGCAGTGACAAACTAGGATGATTTCCATGCAGAAATTAGAGGTGCTGTATTAATAATTTCAAACTGTACCGTAAAGAGTTACACTTTTATGTGATTTACTCGCAAACTAAATTTGCACATATTGGGGCTATTTTTGAGAAAAAAACAAAGGAATGGGGATTATATACTATGTAATTTTGGATGTTTTTTACAAATAATCTCAGCAAGACTAACTTGTGCGATGGAAATTGCGGACTGAGTTTAAAAATTTATTGCCTAGGACTTTTCCCAAGACAAACTCATTACTGTTGGAATGAAACAGAGAAAGAATTCCCTACTTTGATACGTCTTCTGCCTTGCAAGTTTCACCTGAATTAAAAAGCTGGATCTTTTTCCAAACTCTGAATTATTGATATACCAAAGACAGTTAGGTAAATTATATCACGTAGGAGATTCCCTTACCTAAAGACCCAGTAAAGAAAATATGACCATCATACATTAACTAGTATTTACTCCTAGTTTTCAGCCATCCCCATTTCCTGACTTCGGCCGTGCATTTCGAGCCAAAGTCACGACGACCACTCCATCATCTAGGACATTTTGTAGATAGGTTGGACATTGATTTCGTTCTTATATCCCCCCCATAACAGAAAAAATGAGTAAAACATTTGTTTTCTCAGTACAACGGAAGGTGATGCGTAATGTGCCAAAATTGTAAGGCTAAATTGTCAAAAAACACATATACAGTGTTTGTAAGACTCGTTTATAGTTCAACGATAGATATGGGAGTGAATGCACATCTACCTGGAGGCTTTTAACTGATTATTTGGAAAGATCCCAAGGTACCCTATGTAAGATGGTGAGGAAGGTAAAACAGTGCTTGTGGTACAATGTACCATCATTTTCATTTTTTCCTATGAAAAAGTTTGGCGCACAAAAGTATCAAGTCAGCTGCACGCAACCTTCTCACACCCATTGTATCCCATGATGGATCATAAAGGCCACAGCTGGTTAGTAAGGAGAGTGGAGGAGTATCAAGACCTTTTAAGAATCTAAAAAGAAATCTCTCAACCTGTAAATGCAATGCTTATTTTACACACACTAAGTTTGGCTTATCTGTTTTTATTAATGCACTTTGCGACCATTGCAATGCTCTGATCCCCGAAACTAAGAGAAAAGAGCTTTTCCTCCAGTTCCCCTTATCATCCCCCTAGAGTTTTTCAAAAGGGTTTTCTTTTATAAGCTGACGATTGTAAACAACTTTCTGTGCAAATAAGTTTATAGGGTGAGTGGTTTTACTTAAATAAACTCTGCACAGTGGTAGACACTTTCGGTTATCTAAACATATTTTGCATTTAACAACAAGGTATACTGTCATATCATTATAAATTGGTAAACATCAAAAGACAGAAGCCAGTTTCCCATTGTTTATTTATTTTGCTCTCAAAATGCATTGGTTGAAGCCGAACGGGTTTTCTTGGACCTTTTTTCCCTGATCTTGTCTGCCACGATGGAGTGGGTAGTGATTCCTAAATACAATGATTTAATAATGAGCAGTTATATAATTCTTGGAGATTTAATTCTATATCTCGTTTACGTTGATTACTTAATGGAAACAAATTAGGTGTTTCCTAATGTACAACTACACGCATTGTTTTAAACCGTAAAGACGTAAATACTTTTCAATGCTAAACTATAAGAAATGAGCCTCACCTTCCCGCTTATTCTTGCTCTAATCAGTGAAATTTTCAAAACTTTGAGAAATTGCGGAATTTATGGAAGTATTAGGTACTAAAAATGGCCAAAATACTCATATATGATTTCCCAGTAGGATTTCAGCTCTGTGTCTGTGGAGGATTAAGGGAATTGACACATTTTTTGATGAGATAAGCTTTAGTCTTAAATGAATGGTGACTTTTTCACAAAAGACATATTGGAAGAGGTAATAAGGAGGAAATCCTTGCAGAAGCAAATTTTTTGTAATTTTAGGTGTTGAAAATAGGACTTGCCATACTAATTGCTTTCCGGATGCTCAGCAGAATTCTAATTATCAAGTTTTTAGAAAACTGATTCCTTTTTAAAATGGAATAGTAAAGCAAAAATTCATAACAATTAGTACAAAATGGTGCCGTACAATCTCGCCGAGTTTTCGAGGGACAAAGAAATGAGCAAAAGGTTACACTAGTGTTCTCTGATAGAATTAATCAAATCAGTGTATGGCGCTTTATTTATGTACAGAAAGACAAATTAATGTGTTAAGGGTGACATTTTAAAAAGAGTACATTATTTCAAAAGCTAAGGTAACGAAATTACCTCTTTGAAGGATAAAGAGATTCCGAATTTTCTTATCCACTTTACTTTGACAATTTCTTTTTTAAGATGTCTGGCTTCCGAATCCTTACCGATGACGAAGGAAGTCATAATACTAAGGCAAAATATGCATTGCCGACTTACAGAAGGGCTGAGGAGTTACTACTGGCATGTCCCGGAGATCATGCAGCCCAGCAGAAGTACAACCAAAAAGATTTAAATGCCCGCTAAACCAAAACGAGGAGGCAAAATTAATCAAAGTACAGCACTAGTTTTGACTATCAGCGGGAAATAATGTTGAGTTCTACTTCAAAATCAAGATAGCTTCATACTAAAATGACTGAAAAAGTTCATCAATGGTGTTTGCCAAGCTTCTGCTGTTTAAAGGCGTTCGTGCTCACAGTGAATGTTACTTCTTATCCAAATACAGCAGAAGCAATGTAGCGAATGGGAAAGTTCGGATTGTATAAAGCAAATCGCTATTTGTCCTTCTACAAATTTTTCGATGCCGAGTCTAACAATGCCAAAAGCTTATGAAATTCGCTAAATTCTTAATTACTGTTGAACATGATGTTTCCAACTAGGGTTATTAGTTTTAAGGTATCACGGTACTAATAATTAATGAAATAATTAAGATTTTGCCATCCTACTGCAGGGACGATCCCTTCATGATCATTGTCCCTCCGTTGTCATTTTGTGTAACATAACCCTATCGGCTGTAAATTCGAGTATGATAAAATTATCAACGCATAGAGGAAATACATTTTAAGCAAAGACATTTCGTCCTTGATCCCAGGATAATAATCTGGTTCGTCATTTGGATGCCTGTGAGACAATGGGGAACGCGACAGCCATATGTTCAGACAAGACGGGAACCCTAACCACCAATCGCATGACGGTCATAGAAGCCCATTTTGTGGATCGGATTATCTCACTGCACGAACTGGAACATCTGAAGCAGTCCGATGTTGAGGGTCTTGTGAATGAGAGCGTCCTGCGTAAGCTCGAACTCGCCATCGCTGTCAATTCCTCGTACACGTCTCGGCTACTGGTGAGTTAGTGACGATAATGCCTACATGTATTATCAAATAACCTTTAAATGAATGTTTAAAATTTAGCCACTATGGGTTGATTTTCTTTTCCAATAAACAGATCGCTGGTGATAAATGCTGTAAACATAACTTTTTTAGGTGTTTTATACTTTGAAACTAAAAAAATAATTTTGTTGCTTGGAATTTCTTTGCATCAACCCCCTTTCAAATGATATCCCAAAAAGTTTTGCACTTTAGGATAAAAAAATGAGAGAGCACAAAAACGGAAATTGTTAAGTCTTGAAATTCGTCCACAACATATCGATGGAATTTGGAATTAAACGATGGAATAGGGAAGGTTGACTGTCAAGGATTGTAGTTTAATCATGAGTAAACGATCTAAATTGAAAAACAAACTATTTTAGGAGCTAGATAAAGCTTTGCTGTTACAAGTTAGTTGCTGTTAAGCACTTTTTAACTCCTTACATAATATTGTAGTAGACAAAAAATAAGAGAATTTAGAAAAGTGAATTCAACATATGGAACTTGAAAAGTAAACGACTGTTTAGTGGAGAACTAGTTACTTATTCAGACCGCATTTCAAATCAATTTAGATCAAAAAAATACTGAATACTTCTAACCTTTAGACGAAAAGTTAGTTTTTGGTCCAATTCTATCCAAGTTAATTCATTTACTGCTTTCATCGCATGCGTGTATCATGGGCATTATTTTATATTTTGTGTTGCAAGCAAACTAGTCGTTTTTTAAACAAATCAACAATTGCAAAATGTGCTTGATCTAGAGGTGATTACATTTCTTTCCGGTTTATTGAAAGGGACGGTTGGGGACAACTCACTTCCTAATTCCAGTTGTCACGGCGAAATGAAAATAGCAATACAAAATCTGTGATTAATGTCTGGAGCCATTATGGGTCTAAAATAAAATCTTCGCAACAAGTCCAACGCTATAAGGGATATTGTGCTGAGAAGCAAAGTGTCTAGGAGTTTCTCCTGAGACAATCACTATTGCAATTTATTTAGATAATTGGCTTCGGGACCCACTGACTCAATGATATGTCGAATGAAAAGCGGTTAAATATTGGAATGTGTAAAATAGATTATAAAAGCCAGCATTGATGTGACAGTTTCCATTCAGGTTCAAAGCCCGTCTCACATCTCGTGAATTTTTTAGTTACATCGTTGATTCATTTAGGATGAGCGATTAGATCTCTGGGAATTATAAAACGTCTGCAATTATTGCCGGAAAGTGTTTACAAATTTGTAACTGAGGCATCTGATTTGAGGTTTTGCATCAGACCTACATAGAGTTTGGTTAGGAGGGTTTTTGTATATTAACGTATTCAGGTTTATGCAGAAATGGTCGATTTTTAAGAACACTTTTTAATTAATCCACAAGAATTAAGGCTACCGCTTGGAGAAATGTTACAGAATCTTGCGACAGACTTGAGATGCGGATTCCTTATTTTCAAATCAAATATGTTAATTTACTCACTGCACCTGTGTCAATTTCGCATATTTATTCTTTATTTTACAGGTTTTGTTAATAACTGTTAACTTCACAATACAGATAAACAACGTTGGGAGAGAAGTAACAAAGACTGTCGTTTTATGCGCTAAAATTAGCATAAACAATTTTGTAACTTCTTGCTGTAATCTACTAAAAGGTTTCAGTTTTGCATTATTGTAAAAGTACTTTCCGGACCTTTTCTAAAAACCCTCCGCCATTCCAGAATATAGTGCACAGGCTGCTACCCATGCGCTTCATTGACCTCGGCCAAATGTTCTGGCTTTCGAGAGATTGGCTATTCATACCTCAAGGTTCATGACCGATTCCCTAAATTATGATAAAGCCTTATAAGCCATCTATTGCTTCATAGATACAAATTCCTAATTTTTGATTCTAAAAGAACAATGATTGTAAGCATTTGTGATTGAGAGTGGTTAACAATGGACCAAAGTACAATAGATCTTTCCCTCAGACGAGCAAATAAACTCAGTAATGTTACTGTCAAGGCATTGACAGTTCGCCATACAGATTAAATTTTAGCATATTCTTCCTCAAAAAGTAGATTAATCAAAAATATAGGTGGGATATCTTCTTCCTATCTCAAATAACCACTTACATGTGTAGATTTAGTCAAACGTATTACTTATATGGTTCATAAACTTGTATATGCCCCATGTGAAGTCGATCATATTCGAGCTAAAATGTTCTCAACTGGCATATTACGATTTGTAACAAAATCTAGAAAACCTAGGAAAAAAGGCCAACCAACTATCTTAAAACGTGGAATAGAAAAAGATAGCATTTATTGTGTGTATCTTTAAAGTGCAAAGGGATGGAATGTGCCCACATTTCGTAAGGATCGATCGCACTACTGCCAAATATTCATTATGCTCGTAAAATGAACTTTGTGGCCATATTCTCCAGGCACTTTACGGACAAAAATAGTTCTATCTTGGAATTTTGCATTCCCCAATTAACGGGGATGCATTGGTACAACCTTGCAGTCAAAACTGATTTGGGTTATAGGAAAGTACCATGAAGGTGATCAGGCACCAGACCGAATCAGGTATGAAAGGGGGACATCCACTGAAGAGTTCGTGCGTTTGCAAAAACGCCGGCTTATTTGCATAATAAATTGTAACCTCGCCATGGTCTGTACGCATCACGTAAAAGAGTGTAAACTTGTCAGTGGACAGCGTCTTTTCGCGTATATGTGATTGATGTCTTCCTCTTTGGAATGCTATCACACTCCTAGAGCATAAATCATAACCTATGCTAAGGGAACCCTCAGACGACTGTCCATTGTGTTATAGCCCACTAACAAATTTGTTAAAAATGGAATAGTTTTGGGTCCAAGTAAGTCATGCAACGGTATGACAAGCAGGAAGTGTTATTCGACATTGCCTTCTTAACCTACTTTTTCACAGAGATACACTGTGGTCGGTTGATTTAACAAATTTATTATTCTTTACCTAAAAGCGTGGCCAAAGCACTTAATCCTTAATTTTTTTCCTTCTTCAACGAGCTACGAGAAAACTTAAGGATCGTAATAAGCTATCAAACAGGGACTGAAATGATATGGTGGATTCGGGGCAGTTAAATTATGCTGCCCAATTTGTGATGCGCATTTATTAAAAATAACCGAATTCGGTTTATAGCGTAAATTGAACCAGAACCTGAAGGCATGCTTTAGGTATAACACTTAAGTTTGGTTGACTTTAAACGGCAACTATATTCCGCAGACCAATTGGTTTTGTTTGGAATATTTTCCTAGAAGCAACACGGAAGAAAACGCCGTTATTATCGCAGAACTGTAAGCATTTATCCAAGAGATATTTGTATCTCGTCGATGATCATTAAGCAGAACTCGAGACTGGCTGTGCTTTTCTATGCTGTATCAGACTCAGACATCCACAGTTGATGCTATTCTTCTTCCGCCTCCCTTTATTCGGTTAGATCATGCATACCACTCGAAACCTTCTTTGTCTTGAATAATCTCTGGAGGCGCGATGACCAATAACAGTACGGAAGGCGGCTTATTATTGGGATGCGACAAAGGGCAAGTATGAGCTGTCGTGACACCGAGGTGGCGACCGTAGTTATGCGTATTGTTCTACGACGAGATGTCGGCCTTAAAATCTGATCACTTTAGACAAATTCGTAAAAACAATAAGAAAATGGACTTTTGAGTCGTTCGAGTGTATCTAATGGGACAAACAAATGGTACCACCCGACTCAACCATTGTTTTCCATTGGTATGAGCAAAAAGTGCATCCTTCTAATTAGCTCTGTTTGGCATTGGTGGCCATTCTGAACAAACCCTTAATGAGGGGGATGTAACTAATGAGTAGGAGTAGGAAAACACTGTAGAAAAGTTATTTTAACGAACGCAACTAAGTACATACAAAGCTGTCACTGCCTAAATTCTGTTCAGTTTTTTTGTGGGGGGAATACGTTATCGAATTACGGAAAAAAACTGAGGATGTATATCAACTTAAAAGTTTATGTATTTTGTTTCTGAAACTGGAAAAATCTTCCAGAGAGCATTATTTGTCATTAGCGTTGAACCCTTCTAAGGGCCAAGTAGGTGAGTGGAACATTCATCCATTTCGGACGGTTTTGAAAGGCCTTATTTAATGCAAAGGGGGAAGTGGTTTTGTGTTGCAAATTTTTGTTATACCTAGAAAACCGACTTATCCTCTCAATTTGGGGGCTAATGGCTTTACTTTCCTAAATTATTTCCCATTGTAAATAAATTTGCCCATCTTTTACCACAAATTAACCCTCTCTTAACAGAGGCGTGATCAAATAGAATCCAGGTTGTACGTGTTTTCCTCTTATTTTACCTATTTGTTACGATCTAACTTATTTTTAGTTAACTTTTAGTAAATGACATCTCCAATCTTAAGTTGAGTGAGCCAAGAAAATATCATTGAAAACAGGATAATTCCCTCTGATGATTTGTCGCGAAATCTAATGAGAAGGAATTGATGCAGATGGCACCTCGGAATAGTGTTGGGGTGCGGAAGGTAGGCAGATGGATTTTGGATAAGTGGGTGAAATAAAAAAGTGTTCCACTTAATCGTTTACTGTCGGGATGTTTAAAAGGTTAGTAAGGTTAGCGCTTAAGCACTTGGAATGGTGACTAATTGAGAAGGCAGTAAGATAAACACTTAAGCGTGCTCCAGGTACGTGAGCTGTAAGAATAGGCATGTTTAATCAGTCGACCAGCTGTAACCTTTTTATGGACGATCATAGATGGATTTACACACTCTGATTTAATGCATGATCCAAAATGCTTACCTATTTCTCAGGGGTAACACTGCATGTCGTCGAGCATGTTTGTGATAAAGCAATACATAGGTTCTTTTGAGTTCAAAATCTTAGCATAAAAAGAACGCTTTCAGATTAATGAGGCGTCGTTTTAAAACTGAAGAGTGAGAGCTCATTCAGTTTATGATATTAAAAAAATTAGCAATGCAGGGGTGTTTTCGCTTACGACTGCATAGCTCTTTTAAAAAATGTAGGGGCTACAACAGTTCTTCATAATATATGGTGTAGTAACACAAAGTAAATGGATAGTAAAGAAGAATGGCTAATCCAAAGAACAATTACTTAAGTATAAGACCTTACCAATGACCCTAAGGGACTGATTTTCTAAAATTATTTTCAAGCAGTGAAGGTGATTCTTCAGTTACTTTTAAGCCCGTAAGAAAACATCTCAAAAAATAAAGCAAACCGACAATGTGGTGAGGGGAAATATGAGGAGAATTAAATATCAACGCTTTAGGGGAATGGATGCCCTTAACATAACTGGATTTATAGCTTTCAGAAATGCGATCTTATACAGTTAGATACATTGAGTTTATTGCTGCAAAGGGATGGGCTACCGACTGTTAATGATGCACGAACACACGTTAATCAGAGAAAAGAGAAGCCTAATTTATTTTCACATTTAGCCATCGAAAACCCCGGGTGACATGCCAACTCAAATTGGGAATAAAACAGAGTGCGCACTATTGGGCCTGCTTTACCGCTTGGGTCGTGACTACGAGGATTTGCGACAACGTCATCCCGAGTCGGAGTTCGTCAAAGTCTACACCTTCTCCTCGGCGCGTCGTTCCATGTCCACCATCATTCACGCACCTGAGGAGGAATCGGCAGCGGAAAAAAGTGCCACCACCAAACTTCTTCTTCTTACGAAGGGCGCTGCTGAGATGATCATTTCGAAGTAGGTCATTCAGCGTGTGGTTTAAGTACTCATCGATACATTCGGTGTGTGCACGCCGCCTAATTCCACGGAATCTAATTTCAAATAGAGATTGTGTAAACACAAAAATCGTGTGTTTAATTCACAAGGTTGCTGAAATTATGGGAATCATTGAACAAGTGTAAAGCTTAAGTGGTGTTTTTGGGTCCCAAGTGCTGCATTACAAACCGCGCCTAAATGACCTCCTTCTAATAAGAGATGGGAAATTAAGCAATGCTTCTCGATGTTTAGAGGAAAGGAAGGCGAATACCTTGAAACAGAAAGGATTTTAAAGACAAGCTATTTTAACAGACTGAGTATAGATGGTTAGTTGTGGGCAGTTGTATATCAATTGTCGGCATGAATTTTGACTCCATCTTTATATTTTCAAACTTGGAAATCCGAATGGGCACAGTATTCGGGTCTACTATTGCATAATGGGTTTGTTTAAACTAGACACTTTAGTAAGGAATTTAAGTAAGAAAGAGGGTGAAAGAGGTAAAATCCTTCCTATTTTGGACCAGTTGTAGGATTTTACAGACTTTTGTATTATGTATTCATCAAATACACATATTTTACATTTATTTCAAAGTCCAGATGGAAGAGAGAAACTTGCTCACCTTTGATAATGACCAAAGTGGTGATAATCTAGAGAATATGAATAATTTAGTGAAGGTAGAAGGGCACATAAACGAGCAAACTTCATCCTCTGCAGTACCCAGCGCTTCTCATTTACATAAGTTGAGGCGTTAACGAGCAAGCCTTTGGAGATATAAAGCAAGTACTTAGGTGGACACCTTAAAGTAGAATATTAATCTAAAATGGGGCACGGAAAACGTTTTTATAAAATTAGGCTACTTTTAACTATTTTGTCAACTCTGAGATCAGTACAAACATAAAAAATAGTGAAAATCGAGATTTTCCACTAATTTCACTCCAAACAAGTTAGTGTAAAAATGACCGCCTACACATACTCACCAAATGGTTGTGTGCAGCTGCGCAAAGAATTCGCATACCTTTGCGATCATGTTCGCCAACTAAAATGTGAAGTAGTGCAAAAGGATTCCAGTGTAAGATAGGGAGTTACACAGCAGTGGGCTGTGATTAAGGACTGCAGACCTCGAAATTTCAACCACATCACCACACGGAATTTCAAACCGACTCGTTATTAGCAATGTTATCTTAATATTGCTTCGTTTTAACCAAATCCTTCTAAACATCACTTTTGTGTGCGGTAATGCGCCTACCCAGGTAATCTTAGAGCAGCGATTTTTGCTTTTATGTGGAAAGGCAATTTAATAGAAATACGGAAGCTTTCCTTTAAATGAAGTTTCGTTAAAAGCAATTATTATTTTTTTGGTTTTAATTCATAGAAATACTACTCGCAAGGAATGGATTTCTAAAGATGAATCGGAGGAGAAAATCCCACTACACATTTGTTTATTCTCTCTTTAGATTTGGCAGTGCATGTATTATTACTTCATGTCTTTTGGACGGGTAAAAATTTAGCTTAAAAAACAAACAGGTTTATTGAGAAAGGTCTTAGAATTTCCGACAAACCTGTGTAGCTATTCATAATGCTACTACTCCATGAATGTTAAAAACTTGAAATAAAAATCCCGGTAGATGTGGACAGTGAGGGCCGCTACAATCTATTTTCCACTATTTGATGCTTAGAAATATCTTCAACTTTTTCTGTAGATCGAGCTACTGCAACCGCGATCACGAAAGGGATAAATTTGGACGAGTAGTATCAGTTCATTGAAAGGTTTATTAAAGTGATATCCGTCTTTAGAAAAGCTAATTCAGCTAAGCTCTCCAAATAAAACAATAATTTTAAAGAAAACTACTATGTGTGTGGTCAAATTGCATAAGATTTATCTAGTCATTTCCTTTAAAGTGCATTCGTGTTCACACCTAGCTTTGTGTAATTTCTGCACATCCAGATACTCCTTAATTCTCAAATTTGCTTATGAATTTTGAGATTTATCGAATTCCCTGCGGCGACTGAAGGTGAGAGGAGAAGGCGATTGGAAAGAGTATCAGTTAAGGAAACATAGCATTCAAAATTTACCCCACCTCCTTGAATTTGCTAAAGTGTAATTATCACTTGAGTGAGTTTCAAGTATACCCGATGGAATTTAGTGTTTCCTATTTCGGATTCCAATTGTGTAAGATTTTTAACTACCAAAGTGATGGATATCTATTGTCCTAACACTTGAATAGAATCATACCATTTGACTAGCTGGCCTGGAAATGTAATTTGCCATCCACTTTCAAAGGCGCTATCATTTCACAATCCCTGCGCAATATTTTAAAGGGGGTGCTTCACTGCATTCCTAAAGCAGAAGTACTACCCAAATGGACAATAGTGGCGAATGTGTTAACCACCTTTTGCTCAGAATCGAAGGCATTTGGGTAAGTTTTGCTTTTCGCAAAAAAAACATTGTTTCCCCCGATTACGGTAATAGTTGGTGTCATATGAACTATGTCTTCCTCTTCCAATTAAGCGTCTTGCCTTAAAATGCTGTTGGAGCATCTAGAAAGGTAGTGAAAAGCTGAACTCTCTAATTTAGTAATTTTAAGCAAATTTGCCCGGAGCGTGTACAAAAGTAAATGCCATTCTATTATGCAACCCTAAGAAATTCCTCCTACTCTAAATAATAATCACTTAACTTGTATAAGAAACCGTCTTTGTCATTACAACATTTTTTCGTGTTCTTATCAATTCATTGTTATTTCTCGCAACTCATAAAAGTCAGTAGGTACACTAGTTGGAAGGCAAGCCATAACAACGAAACATGCGTAACTGCCACTACAAATAAAATCTCTGTGAGTTCATTGGTTCAAATGCTTATGAGAGCTTTCAGTAATACCACCTCATGGGGAAGATTTAAGGGCAGCAGGTGAGGTAATACCCAATTAAGTGTTTTTCTGATAACGGTAATTTAACTATTTGCGCCCATTTATAAAATGCTTATTATTTCACACCTTAATTTATGCCTCCTTGGAAAGTAATGAATGAGCTGAGCCCGTTAACGCATTTTGTTGTTCCAGAGTTACTCGGTCTAGAAATACGGAATAAATAAACCTAAAGTTTAATAAAATATTTTTTATTCCTATTTACCTTGTTTCGTGGCAGTGCTGTAGGCATTTACTACCAATCTGTGAAATTTAAATTTGTTTAGTGCGAAATGTAAAGTTAAACCATAAAAATCAGAACAGTTTCGGGTGATAAAGCATTTTTAGTATATAATGGTGAAAAATTAACCCAAGCTTTCCCGTTTTTATGATGAATCACCTAAAAAGCACTGATTTAAGTATTCAAAACTTTTTCAGAATATTTACAACAAGAGAGCAATCACTTTAGTATTGTCTCAGTCAAATACACATTATTCGATAAAGTCAGAACTGTTGAGGGAGCAATGTGAGAGATGTAGTTCATGACTTTTGATTAAAGAAAAAATTGGTCCAAGTGTTCCACTTCTTGCAGGATTCCTTCTGTTACATCATACGCTGAACATCTTTTAAGAGATATGGAAATGCGTCTTCTACTTGGGAAAAAATTGTTGTCACAACATCATTTCAAACTCAAATTTGGAAAGATTGAACTTCACAGGATCGTCGGAACTCAAGGTGTATGACCAACAAATAATTATAACGGAAAATATTTTGGTGAATGACAAACTGTAATTTAAAGCAAGGTAAACCAGATTCATATACTAATGCCATGATTGCAGATACGCGAATTTTGGAGGAAAATAAAACCGCACTCTAAATTCTTCAACAGGATCTTACATTTCAAGAATAAAGCTTGTTTAAACATCTAAGGTTTTATCTAGAACCATTAACTTTAAGACATGGTGAATGAATAAGTCTTAAGGCACGAAAGATAATCACCGCGATAATCGGTACGATCGCTGTAAGAAAAAACACTAGAATCAAATAGCTATTCCGGACTTAAAGAATTATTCAAAGCTTTTTGTCAAATCACAAGTAATCATTCGGGATCTGGACATTACCTCACTTCACCAGAAAGTAATTGATAAGAAAAAAGTGGCCAACGTGGCTGAAAATATTACATTAAATCCAAAATGTCATCTTCTTGGAATGTGAATGAACTCATGACAGGCCCATGCTTTTGTTAATCCAATTTTCCTTTGCACACCCAAATCAGAAATTAAGAAGCATTTTCGTCTATTAATTGAGACTCAATCAAACAGCTACTATAAACAATCCATTTTGGGCTTTCTCGCTTTTTTAACTCTTTTTCAGGTGCACATCGCAAATAACTAGTGAAGGAAAAGTAGCTTTCTTTGATGAGGAAAATCGAGCAGCCATTGTTTCCTCTGCCGTGGAACCTATGGCTCGAAAGGGACTACGAACAATAGCTCTTGCCTACCGGGAGTTGATAACAGGTGCGTCGGCTGAATAAATAACCGTTTCAGTCTCCTTTATACGATTAATACTTAAATTATTCTTCAAATTACCATAGTGGGCACAGTTTTGGGACTCTCATGCAAACACAAACGTGTTTCATCTCCGACTAGCTAGAAGATAGGCAAGTAGGCAGGGAGGCAGAAAAACATAAATAAGAATGAAGCCTGTGAAACAATTAGCCGGACAGGATAAGGTCACTCTGTTGCGTATGAATGCGCTAACCCCTATGGTTTGCTTTGGCCGTGACCAAGGCTTTTACTTTTATGCTTATGCCACGAAAAAACATAATTAATCACTCTGAGTTCATTTGCGTGTTCATTACTGCTAGTGCAACATGTCGACTCTACGGTGACCTATCTGTTAAGCGACCTAATCTTCTGTTCCATCGGAATCGCTGTTTGTAATAGGGCAAATACCCCTTTCTGACCTTAAAGGACTGCATCTTCAATACCCTTCCATCAGTGTGATATGCCCATAATTTTTAAAAGTTTCCAATTTAAGACCTATTAAAATAATTGTTATAACAAAGCCCCATCATTTATGGAAGAATATAAGTGTAATTAAGCAGGATTGTGACATGTCAGCTAACTAATCACAACTAGAGCCATTCAAAGTACGAGATCTGAGCAGAAATTTAGAGCCTTGTACATAATTGTAACTGTCCCCGGATTGCTACCAATTGACAGATGCTGCTCCAACACGTGACACATCTAACATGCCTTACAATGGTTGTTATAATAAAACTGATAATATTTTAACGTAGTTTTTAGATAGTTACTAAAATTTGCAAATAAACTCAGGATTTTTGCCGTTCTAAAGGATAATAATATATTTTGAGCGTAGAAGTTCCACTCATTTCACGTCCAAAATCTAAAGCTACATTCACACGCGTATCGTAACCTTTAATAGCTTTGCTTTGTTGGGAAGGTTTGCTTTACCTTTTCATCTGCGTTTATGCAGTCATTGTGAGCTACCTACAGAATGACTTGCCTCTTTTGCAATTTTTTCGCATGACACGTTTTTTGTTGACTGGATCCCCTGAATCAGGAGCTTATAACATGGTAAATGGGATGTTTAGAGAAATGACTGCTCTTATTTGGATTCGGTGCTTCTGAGGCCAGAACCATGACTGGAAAACGTACGTCCATTATTAAATCATTTGGGCCCTTCAAATGCCCAGCTGTTGCTCAGCATTCTATCACTGTTCTGTGCAGTCTTTTAAGCCTTATATACCCAGTAGATATCACAATAAACAGCAGGATTACAACCTATTCCACATACTCAAAACCTCTATTCCCTGCCGCCATAATGAACGCTGTCTGGACTAGAATATAATATGCACAAAGTGTTCACCAGCTATTAGTGTTTGAACACGCTTGCACACTACCGATTCGAGTAGCACCGCCACCGTAGCATCCTTTTCTGCAAGCAAAAGCTGCTAGAATGGCTCATTTTATCATGCCTCATATTTGCTCCCAAGTGCGTTGGGATTGGTGTCTAAATAAAGTCACATAATTTTGTCGTTTAGATTCTATTAATGGTAAATACCGAACATCAGAATTCATGCCTTCCTTCTTGTTTGTCAATTTTTTGAGCTTATAGCTGTTGGTCTTGGTATAACATGATTTGTGCTAGACTTCTCACACTTCCCTGCCTATCTTATGTTCCTTCTTCATGTTTCATTTGTAATATTTACTGCATAAAAAAGCAAAAAATATAAAATTTGTCCTGGAATAGTGAAACTGAGCCCAATATGTGCAAAAATACTTAAGATTTTAGGCCCCAGTTTCGTATACATTTGATGGGCAGTACTTGATCACACAAGCGAATTATCTCACAATTCAAACCATACACTCTGGTGATTCAGGCTTCAAAATCACGTAGCTTGACGTAAAAGCCTCCTCTTTTGGAACTCGTTTAATAAGCCAATTTTCCAACAAATAATCAGGGCAATGAGTTAAAATTATTTCCTGTAGTTTTCAAGCGATGATGCGAAACTTTGGTAGCTTTGTTAGGTTCTATTTTATGATGCATACGATGCTCACAATAAATATTCCTCTCGTCCATATATTGAATAATTCACTCGATTTCAGCACACTAAGCATATAGCGAAAGGGGATAGCGTTCTTTTAGCTAGCTCTTTTTATTGTTAAGTTCCACTTCAACATATTTCAAAAAGGTTAAATTTAATAGAAAGAAGTTGTATGTCAATGTCTTTTTAGAAATTATTGTGCAGAAATTGATGGCACATGGACAATTCCTTAAAAGCTACATCTCTCTACAAAAACAGCATTTCATCATGCTTTTGAAAAGTTGTAAAACTTATTCATTTCGAAAAAAGTTACAGAAGGGGAGCTAGAATAGGCAAATCATATTTCAGCATATCGATTTTCAGAAAAAGGTTTGTTTTTCTTGTCGAATTTTACGTCCAGTAGGAATTGTGTGGGTATGGGATGTGATGGTAAAAATGAAATATGGCGAGATTTGAGAAAGAAATATATAAAAAACAGGAGCAAAAACACAATCAAGACCCATAAATTGTTAAATGAATAAGCCTGTGTAACGTCTTCCTGGGACGGTAGCAACCTTTTAGTAATTGGGAGAAAGTTGTTTTAACATAGATTAGCAACTATTGTTTAAAACATGGGGTGATAATAAGTTTATATTTGGACTTGATGACTAACCTGTTTAATTACGTGTTTCAAGAACCCTAATTTTGCTGGGGCTAATTCTAAGTTAACTGATTTGAAAATAAAAATTGAACGATATGAATAATTTTATCAATCTTAATTACATCCAAATCCTTCAGAGCGCGATTTTTTACTTTTTAAAGCTTTTTCCAAAAACTACACTTTCGAAAGTTTCAGTTTTAGTGGAAGAATCTTTGGAAACTGGCTCTACATAGAGGTAAGCTTGTAGCTAGTTTACAGATAAGGCAATGGACATACTACACTCGGTGTTCCCCCCTTCCACCTTAACCCTTATACCCTTAGAGCGAGCAGGCAAGATGGAAGGGCACATGCTTTATTAAACAGATGTTACGGTTAAGGGTGTTCAAGGTGCGCTTCCTCCTTGGAGGCCGATGGCTTCCGATCCGTCACATGGTCCATTTAAGCAAAATTACTACAATCGGCACATTTACTCACTCATAGTTTGACATCACAAATGTCAAAAGCCTCACGTAGATAAATTACTCAAATTCAAAGTAGTCTTGACGCAATTCCCCAAAGCAGCTTTAAATGACAATAAGATTTACTTTTCTTGGCCAGTATAATGGGCTTCCAGAAGCTGATATATTTTGTTACTTGATTAACTCATAATGGCAATATGTATGGGCTGGACATCACTAACTCTTCTGACAAAATGATTAATAAGTAGGCCTTATAGTCGCTGCGATCTGGAAGAGGTGTGTGTTCAAATATCATCTAGGGCCGTTGCAAACATAAATTATTTGACGGTGGAGGTGAGAAAGTAGTATTTTAAGGCGAATTATCAGCCGAGACTTTGGACGAAAGTGATTTGCCTTCGTTTCCGATTCAGTAAAGTGGAAGTCTGTCAACGTTTCTTTTATATGTTGAAAAACAGTGCATAAAAAGTACCGACCCCAATGCCTTAAACCAAATTTACAATAATGCCCATTCTGCTTCAGCCTCGTGTATATTTGAGAGCTGAAATTTCTTACCTGAGTCCACACTTTACAGAAATGTTCTAAATGAAAAAAAAACGTTGGAAAAGAAAAAATAGCATCATTAAAAAGGTAATGGCGCGGAATAATAAAATATTTGGACTGTGATTGCTGGTATTTCTCCGAGACAGATCCCGATAAGTTAACTTGTTAATAGAGCTTAGTAATCCCCTAAGGCCAAAGTTTTAAGGCACTTATTAATAATTTAAGGAAAGTTGGTGCAAATGTGGGTTTTCTGTCTTTTACCCATAAAATATGTCTGCATTTTGCAAAGAGCACCCAGTTCTTTAATTGGTTGAATAAAATTCCCAAAATTACCAGTCTTTGTAGGTGTATCGAAATAATTATGGAGTTGAGTTTGTTTGATGGAAGCCTTTTATTTAGGTGGATGCTCCACTCCTGCTCCCACAATCTTTCAGTGAGGCCATGAAGTCAAAATGTATGCCCACACTAAAGTGGTTTGTAGGCTAATGATTTTGGGCTTTGCAGGTAATGACAAGGAATAGAGGGTTCGAATTCTCGACAAATTTAGACATTATTAGAGGGTATAGTGCCAGCGTATTCAATAAAATTTTTGAAGGTTAAATTGCAGTCTCTTTGTTAACAACACTTAGCAGCTATTATCCTAGTATTTAAAAACGTGTGCGAAACGATGCCTTATGATTAAAAGTTGGTTTTCCTTCATCCAACCACTTGAAAATTAAGGTAGAAACCAGTTTTCTTTCAAAGGTCTTACGAAATAAATAAAAGAATACAAATGCTAAATACATAAATAATTAGAGTTGTTGGTCTCATGACATCTTAGATACCTACGTATTTTTTCTCATTTCCAAATATTTTTTTTCTGAAGAAGTTGTATTTGAAATATTTCATTCGGATCTATCAAAAGCAGATACTCTTTAGTTTGGCTTTGTTTGTAGTTCGATTTGAAGCGTGTACCATATTGACTACTTTACTTCAAGTTGCTTTTCTCTCAAGTCAATCAAGGCATTACCATGATTCAAAACAATTCACATTCTTGAATTACATTCAGAAGTACGGACAAGCAACTAACAATCACCTCTAATCATAATAAAGAAGGTACTCTATTCAGTCAATACCACAAAAAATAAGCAAACCTCCTAGGAAAAAAAAATGCCAAAATGGCATAGCTGAAGGATGCAAAAGGCAATCAGATATGAAAATAAAACCTGCTGAGTTGAATGAATTACTGAGTTCCTAGGATCATAGTTCAAATGCTTCTAGAAAGTTAATATATTGCAATAATTAATATGTAATCAGAAAATAAAGACAAGTTTTGCAACAACGTCTTCGATTTCTTTACTTAGTACCTTGATATTTTGTATTTCATTCACCTTTTTGCAGCTCAAGAAATGCTAGCAGCTCAAACTGGGTCATCAAAATTTTTTTTAGATATGACGTAGTCACCTAAATGGCCATTTGTGCGCAAAATTCGTCTCTTTCGTAGTAACTTGATTCTTGAAGAGATGGATAAAAGTGAGACCATTTATTAGAGCATCAGTGCAAACTTCTCAAAGAGGTGCACCGTGCAGAATACGAAATGCCGCCTAAATCAGCTCTTTTTACAGTTTAAAAGAACCTCATTTGGTGAATTTAACGATGAATCGCTAGGAAAACCACAAAACAAACCGTTAAAAGAGTAGAGGACTATAAATAAACTTGACGTGAAGTTAAATAAATGAAAATAAATGGGTATTATGAAAAGTTATTGTAAAAATTACGAGAAGAAATACGCCAGATTTCCTCATTTTAGTAAGACCTGCCAAAAAAGGGATTAAGACTAGGGTTTTAAAGCTGATTCAACCATCAAAATTTTTATACCTCCAGCAATACATTGAAGGGGATTTTACAACAAATTAACATGAGGCTATTAAGATATCATTCATATAAATGGCAAGGAGGCAGCAATATCAGTGAATTACCTGCATAGGTCTGAAGAGTGTCATTTTTATCTTGATAAAGCCACTTATGTTTGAAAGGCAGTTTTAATATTGTAAATTTATTAAATAAAAATTAAAACTCCTAATGTTTTCTGGTCTTTTTAAAGAAAACCAGCGCACTGTCGTAAAACTGCAGGAGAAGTTTTATTAAATTGTCGAATAACTGAAATTTCACCCTTATTCTCAATGTTTCTTCTCTAATTCAGATTGCGGTTGAAATTATGGTATCACCTGGCTGTCTTTAACGTAATTCATTCAAATTAGCCACAACAAAGTCAATTTAGGTTGTTGTGTCTGAAAAAGCTGCATTTTTGGGAGGAGCGGACTTCAAGATAATTGAGTGGGGCAAAATATAAAATGTTCAGGAATATTTTGCAGCATAAACAGCGCTTTTCTTGGAGGAAAAATCAAAATGAAAAAATACATCAAATCAACTTTTTAAAAATTGTCGGGGGTTTGGTAATAAGGCAATCTGGTAAACAGTCCAGATCGTTCAGTGCCATCATGCCTTCACGGAATTCAACCTTTACTCATGGCATAGCATTGTCAATTATAGGTTGTTTTGTTGTGCTGAGTTGCAGCTTCCCGGTGTCTGAATGGGGAAAATAAAATTTTTTCAGTAAATGCTTGCAGATTGAGAGAGTTAGCAACACCAATCAAAATCCCAACTTTCACTCCAATTTTTTGCGTTGACTTTGCATGTTTGAGGCACGCGAAAGCGGTCTGAACTTCAAAAACGAGAATCTATGACCAAGCAGACTAGTGGTGTTAAGAAAAGTACCGGATTTTTATGAAAAGCCCACTTTTTAAATGTCTATCTTTCAAGTTGTCCAAAAAATTACTCCGATAATATTTTAGCCCAAAATTCCAGCAAATTGTGATGATAAAAACCGTTAAATGAACAACTTGGAAATTACCGAAAAGACAGATTGATGAAATTCATTAAACCTTAAATTTGTTCAATTTCCAGAAAGTTTAATTCATAGTGACACATTAACCGCCCATCTAGCAACTAACCTTTGCTTACTAAGTTACGAGCTTTCGAAGACAGACACCATTAGCAAATGTCTATCTTTAAAGCTGAATTCCATCATATGTGGACAAATGAAACGTAAAATGTAGAAAAAATGTTGGAAATGGTTTTGTTAGTTAAGATTTACAAAGAAAAATATTTCCTTTGCCTCTGCCTTTGTATTAAAGCAACGCAATCAGCTTAAAAACACTGATTTGCATGTCACTTTTAAGTACTTCTTCAGATGCGCTGGAGAAAGAACACTCAATGTTAGAGGTGACTATTTAATTCCACCATTATTGAAATCACCGAGTCTGACATATTTTCCAAGGAAGAAATGAAAACGAGTACCACTTTAATTCTTGGCAGCATAACCAGCAACAATTACAATTAATCATGTAAAGTTCACCGTAGATTAACACACCTTTAGGTGCAAAAACAGATTTATTTAAAAGAAACTATTAAAATGCTTGAAAAGCTAAATTACGACTTGTCGGAACGATTGATATAGCAATTTTGTGCATTTGAAACTGGCATCAAAGGACTTTTTGAGGTTTGGTTATTTTTTTCTGATAAGATGGAAAGAAAAGATTAAAATGAAATTAATACTGCGATGAATAGTAAGATAACATGACGAAAAAATCCCTCATTGAGGTTTCTCCGACAAATGATAAAAGTCATTGCTTTATAAACTATTCGCTGTTTAGCCCGCGGCCGCAGCTTGAACTTTGATAACGAGGAACTGTGGCTAAAGGACCTTGTGCTGCTCTGCGTGGTGGGCATCGAGGACCCGGTGCGACCCGAGGTCCCACTAGCCATCGCCAAATGTCAACACGCCGGCATCACAGTGCGTATGGTGACCGGAGACAATGTGGAGACGGCGCGCTCTATTGCCCTCAAATGCGGCATCCTCACCGAGGCCAGTGGTCATGCCGATGGCGTGGTGATGGATGGTCGTGAGTTCAACAGACGCATTCGTCTCCCAGCCACGGGTCAGGTCTCACAAGAGTGCTTCGACAAGGTTTGTACTTAAATTTACCTGCCTTCTGTAAGAATTATGGAGGATAACTGGGCATGATACCAAGTGACTTTTAATTGCGTAGGGCATTCTAAAGCGAACAAATGCAATTTTCCTTAAATTGAGAACATTTTTCATTCACGCGCCCGTTTTAATATTAACTAAACCGTTTGCGATACGGATGACCAAAAACGTTTATCACGAATTGGTAAACAGTGCCTGGCACATATTTGTGACACTAGCAGTGCAGACTGATCGGTTAATATTCCATAACAATTAATCCAAAAAGCTACTAATTAAAGGTTTTTCATTTATCTTTGAATAAACTATTCTTTTCTGGTGACATTTCTCCTTGTAATTTGAACTTAAAATGATAAATCTTCTCTAAGATTTCGCGGTTCGTGATTCTCCATGAGCATTAAGATGCTGCCAAATTTCTGAACATTAAATGCGGTTTTTGAGCCCTTTTTACCCGTAATTCTCAAGTAGCTACTGTTTTACCATGTGAGAAAAGGCAGTCTTGTTTTCTACGTATTGCGTTAACTTCCTATCTGCAGCCTCCTTTGCCCTTTGTCCCTCGTCTACGCTCCTTTTTCGTCTATAACGTGTCTACCCCGCGAATTTAAATGTCTGGTAAACAGTTATTCCTAACCAGAGATAGCTTTAGTTAGTGAGGACTTGCGTATTATGTACTGCCTTCAATCAACTTCTAATTTTTTTCCCTGAAAGCAGGTTAACTATAGACACTAAAATGAGAAACTTCGCTTACAACTCCACATCGATGAAATTTCAAGCTTTCCAGCAAAGTCTTGAAGTTAGCATTTGGAATTGACATTGTGCAATATCTAGACTCGCATTCTTTGAAAATATGAATTCAAAACACCTTTAAATAACTTCTCATGAGCTTTTTAAATCCTCATTTGTGTTATGTTAGTGGATACGACAAAACTAATTTGATTCCTCATGAACCTTTACAAGCTATAGGTTTCTAATCATTAACCACTTTCTGACTTGTTTGCTCACAAATCTAGTGTCAAACTGTTTCATAGGTAAGTATTGGGCTAATTTTGCTGCCTTCTGGATTTAATAATAGGTACAAAACTAATGCACATAAAAGTTATTTAAGACCTGAAGCAGAATGAAATGGAAGAAGTTATGCTGCAAATTATGCCTTCAAATGAATTACCCAGAGGAATTTAGGACATTTCCTCTTGAAACTATAAAATCAATTTCTGCGTCCCCTTTGCCGACAAAAACAAAACTTTTCCTAAATAGCGCACCTGAATTATGCGTGTGTTCCTCTTTATGCCTAGAAAGTATGTAAAAAACTGTTCAACGAATCATGTATATAATGTAGGTCTTCAAGATGGTCATGCAACAGAACAATACTTGACATTCGGCAGTAAAAAAGAAAGGTGGGAAGGCAAGACAGCCTAGAAATCTGAATATCACGGACCAAAATCAGAGACAGATGTCCGTTCCGGAAGGTATCACGTGATGGACCGGTGTGTTGTCCTTTCCCCCTTTAAGCTGACTTTGGCTTTGTGTTAGTTCAACTACACAAAATTTTGAACAAAAAAGGTCTTTTTCCTACCAGCATGTCTTGAGGAAGTGCTGGTAGATGATTCATGAACTAGAGATAAAATGTGGGGTCATTAAAATGAATTTACCGTAGGGCTAAAATTAGTCATCATGACTATTTCCTTTATCCATACAGAGTTATTAATTTCAAAGTAAAATGCTAACCAGGTTTCAACATGGAACCTCTGCAACGGAAAAACTGTTGCAGAGACTTGTGCATTGAAACGGGTGCATTTTACGAGGAATCTTAAAATAACGCATGCTCCCAAAGTCAATAATCTTTTGGTACTTAACTCAAGGAGTATGTCACATTTACATTACATCAATTATAAAACTGATGAAAAATTTGTAGCTCATTTCTGTACTATTTGCATAACCATTACTTGTCAGTTCAGCAAATCACGCTTACGACTGGATAATTATAAGGACGGTCTTTTATTTTCAAAGAGGAATAACGGCACGGTTAGTTATTTACCATTGGGAAGAGTTAAACTGCGTGAAATAAAAATTGACTCCAAGTATCTTGTTTTGTGTTAAGTATCGCATAGTACAGAAATGGAGCCTTTGCTGATAAGAATTACACAATTTTTTAAGTTTATCAAGTCGTTTTTCCATGTTGCTTTCCCCAGTATACCCACACCACGCATTTTCATTGTCTTACATGTGTCCATTTATTCTTGTGCACGGCGTGTTCCCATAAGCCCCATTTTGGTTTACGCTGTGCCCCTTTACTGGCCTAGGAGTGTGGCCATGCCGATGTGCAAAAAGCCTCTTGACTTTGTGGTACTTTTACAATTCACAAAAATACGAAACTATTTCATGACCACGGTGTCTTCTTTGCTGTAACTCGCCTTGGTACCTCGGCCGCAGCATTGGGGAGCAAGGAGTGGGTATTACATCATTTTGCTCCTTGGAGAGGTTCCATAGCTATTCATCGTAACTTATCTTGGAGATATTTGCGATGAAAGATCTTCCTATTAATGTGGATTGCCTAACGTAGCCCAGGTTTTCCATCGAATTTCCAGAAAGTTAACTGTGGTTTTCCACCAAAGCTACTTCCATAGAACTTCAAATTCCGCAATAATTTTTATTTTGCTGCACAAATAAGGTTTCAATAAAACTTTGAAAAATAGTCTACTAATGTCTTTAATAGAAGCAAATATTATTAATGAAATGGTTCTTTATTTTTCAAGTTTCGCATTTAAAGTTCTAAACTATATTGTTGATTTAAGAAAAGCAAAATGAGCCCCAGCCCTCACAATTTTTTTCCATAATAAGCGAATTCATGTGATTATTGTTACTTATCATGACCAAAGCTGAAGTTTGGGCTTGGTAAACTACGACTTAATCTGTTTAACTTTACGCAGATCGTAGAAGTGACATTTTAATAGGTCATTTTAATTTTGAAGAGTGAAGGAGCTGAGCCTTGTATGGTACGATAACTAACAATAGGCAATTAAGAATGATAATGTTTAAGAAAACCAAATTTTTAACCTTGATAGGCTACTTTTAAGATTGAAAATAAGGCCATGCTTGCGGATACCTTAACTGACAGGTAAACCGATGATAACAACTAGCCCCTAAACTGTGTATAGTTTGTTTAGCCATACCAAATGGGGGATAAAGTTATAATAATACGCAAGTGCTGACGTCATGTCACGGCATGACTCGATGCTTTCTGCTACAGGCGCTACCTAGTGTCTATCGCATGGACACGTCACGTTGACGTAGGAATTGGACAGTACTAAGAGTGGATGCAAGTGGGCTTACTTAGTTAGCTTGTTCCATCGACTTGGTGGTTCTCTCAATTTTTTTTTTTGGAACACATTGAAACTACAGCGTATTACAAGCAGATGCAACTGAATAAGCGCCCAAAGCACAATAAAGCTCCACCACATTTTCGGTCGTTAGACAATCTCAAAATTGCAAGGAAACCTTTTAAGTCAAAAAGCACTATTTCAGACCTGGAGCTTGGTAAGACTGACAAAAAACGGGCCTCTTATGTAGACGATTTATTAATTTACTAAAGTGACTATTCTCTCCCTACATTGGTTTTAATCCTAAATTACCAGTGATGACTAAATTTTAACCTCCTTTTTTGCCAAGCTAAATTTCGTTTTATTTATATATTTAGTAGGTATACAAATAAAATGCCGTATTTTTTTCACCGAGGAACTTCAAGTGGGTTTGCATGGGTCTATTTTCGGCAAGAGATTTGTTGGTATTTGAACACAAGAACAGATTATCAGCTTACCACTGACCAACTTAAACTGACAACCCCTACTCCGATACACTTATATTTAGCAAGTAGTCATCACAAATAATCGCTAGAACCTTTGCTTCTGTTAAGTAATAGTTTGTAATGGAACTGCTAAGGACAGCTTTACTATTTTATTAACCATTTTACGAGGCTTAGCCTCGACCATCACTCTTCAAGTTAACACACACTGATTTCAATAAATTCGAATGTAAAATGCTGTAATTGTTGCTTTGATTTAAAAGGGAACTACATTTTTACGGTTTTTGATTGCCATTTACCAGTACCATTGCTTATTTCCTCTGTACAGCCTCGCAGTCAGTTTCTACCCCAAAGTGAACTACACATCCCTTTGGGGGTTAACAGAATCAAGCCGAAAGCATTTTTTTAGAACTCATTACACCTCCCAAATAAATGCGCAGTTTAGTCACATTTTAATCAGGAAAGAATGTTTTTGCTAAAACATAAATGTGACCATTTTTATGTTCAGTAAGCTTGGTAAGCTATCTTTCCTTTTCCGAGAAGCTAGTATGAATCAAAATAGAGAAGCAAATAATTCCCAAAGTATGCGTAGCATCAGTGGAGAAAAACCACAGTTCTTAATGTCCTTTTAGTCGCGTTAACCGTAAAATAGTGGCAAATGTGTAAATACTTTCAAATAATTTCTTTTTCATCACACAATGGATGAGTGATCTACCTTGCTAGCAGCATTTACAGTTCATCAAATTGTTTAGTGTCTGTACACATTTGGCATAGTGAAGCACTCAAAGATTACTTATGCTGAGACAGGCATGATTTCGAAGCATATGGAAAAGTGTCTTCAAATAGCTAGTAAAGCGGAGGATGGCTTGTTTATTCACATTGTTTACTTTTCATCTCACCAAAACTTAGGAATTAAGAAATTAATAGTTTTACCAAGTACGGTGAAATTTGCTTTTATTCCTCCCAGAAGTCACATATATTCGCATTCCTTTTATTAATTTAGCACTTGACAAGTCAAAAATTTTAGTGAGAAAGCAATACTTACTACTATTACTACAACTTAATATTGCCTATGATCACACTCTGTCCTTTACTGATTAGTGGTTTCGGCCCATCGTAGGCACTAATTGCGCATATCTAAAAGAAAATGTTGTCAACGTCTATAGTGCTCCCTTATGGGGCCAAGCTTAAATAGGGTTCTGCCACTTTTTATATATTTCTCCAAAGACTTTAAACTACCCACCTATGATTGTCTTCTTCGGGGAAAATAGTCGATTAAGGTTTTATTGGTGCATTTAGCTTGTTCAAGCCTTGTCTATCACCTTGGGGTTCTTTAATAACTTTTGCTGTGATTTTATCGTCTTTATTGCTATCAACCAGTCAAAATTCAAGGAAGTATTGAGTGTTTCACAGAAAAGCCAAATTCAGATCATGAGTATCAATGGCGATCTCCATGACTCTTGTAAAAACCTTAAATTCGTCCTTCTAGTGTCTTGCTTATCGTTATTACCACTTGAAATAAATTTGGGTTATGTCCATTCTTTTAAAACGCTTTAAAATGCTCCAAGATTTTCCCATTTTTCTTCCCAATTAGCTCATTGTTCCCATCCGTATCAGATGTTATACCCTAAGACCAATAATGTTATTCAAAAATCCTGAGCCCACCCGTACTTGTTGCTCATTTTCTTGGCTTACAGTTAGTTAACCTTTTTCATTACCATTATCCAATTATGAGCCAATGTAAGCTAATGTGTGTTTATACTAGGATACCTCAGTGAACCCAGGTGTAAGTTCATAATTTCAATTAATGGCTGATCGGCAAATTGCAAAACGCAAAAATTAGATCCAATGTTCTACCATATAGTCATTGGATTGTAATAGGCCGTTCATATTAAGGGGCCCAGAAAACGCTTACTCAGACTTCTCTTCTTAAATAACAGTTAGCTGACATAGTTGACGATTTCGTAGTTTAACAAGTATATGCTGATTTAGTATTCATCATCCTACTGCCTTAGGTTTGGCCACGTCTGCGAGTTCTGGCCAGGTCAACACCGCAGGACAAGTACATTCTCGTGAACGGTATCATTGGTAGCCACCTTCGACCCAATCGGGAAGTGGTAGCGGTCACCGGTGACGGTACTAATGATGGACCTGCATTAAAAAGAGCCGACGTCGGCTTTGCCATGGGTCTGGCAGGCACCGACGTTGCCAAGGAGGCTTCAGACATCATCCTCACCGATGACAACTTCAGCAGCATTGTAAAGGCCGTCATGTGGGGCCGCAATGTCTACGATTCCATTGCAAAGTTCCTGCAGTTTCAGCTTACTGTCAATGTGGTTGCTGTGATTGTTGCCTTCTCTGGCGCTTGTATCATCACCGTAAGTTCAGAGTACCCCTCAGACTCACACATGATATTGAATTACCCGAATACTGGTACCCAACTGGCCTTGTTTTCTGGCGTTTCATGAAGACACAATCTTTGAAGTAGTCAAGATTTGTAGCACTAGATACAATTCTAATACTACATAAAATTGCTATTCATAGAACTCCGGATGGTTGATTGAGCAGTTTCTCTTTGGCAGACGAGAGACTTAAAAAGAAATTGCTATTAATAACACTAGCAGAAAGCAGATGTATCTTAAACTTCGGGTGAATAAATAACAATAATCTATGAGGTTGTTGTTTCGACGTCCCTACAGCATGTGTAACTCATCTTCATTAATGGAAGGGCTTCGCCACATGTTTCAAAGGAGCGATATTGAGATTCCAGTTCATTGATCATCCCTTGTTTGGCCCGCTGAGGAGGTGCAGATGAGTCTAACCTTTAAATGAAGCACTTTTCTTTTCAGTTCGTTTCCATACGTTCCCAAGTCTTCTTCTTTGCCGTCATTTTGATGCAATTTTATCGCCAGTTTGGAAGCATTCCCATTAAGTTAGAGTAGTAAAGGGTCTTGTAAGCTGCTAGATATAAGTTTAAGAAAGAGAAGGGTTATTGCTGGTAACCCAGCTACCTTTAATTGCATTGACACTATATTACAGCATAAATTTATCCGATCAGAAAGAATTTTACCTAAGCAGCCACTAAATTTTGCAAAATCCTTAGCTAAGTATTTAGTATCATCGTTAATGCTCATCTGATCTTTTCAAAATGTCTTCGAGATCGATCTGTCATTTTCCGCCTAAGTATGAACATTTTCCCTTCCCGCATTCTCTTGAACCTGAAACAAAATTATGAGGGTTTATTTTGTTTTCTGTTTTTTCATGCATCCAAATGACATAAAGTTGCGAGATCTAAGTACGATAAATTCTTTAGAACATGGGCAGAGGAATTAAGTTTCCTTCATCAAAAGTGGAGTTTACCTAAAAAACTTATTGTCGGGATCTCTTTTCGCCAATATTGGTGAGTCATGGTTCCATAACAAAAAAATGGCTATTTATTTAAAATTTTATGACTAAGATCATTCGACTGTGTTCATCTGTTACATAAACGAAAGTATGAGCATTGACATTTTTTGTGCAAAAGCAGTAGAATTAAATTCCATTTTTAACCGAAATGTAGTTTTTAGTTATGGATGAGCTTGTATATTTTAAGGACATTTTATTCCTGAATATATATGCCGAACCTACTTACATAGAGGAGAGTTATCAATTTTCAGGCTATGCATGGTTGTATCATGCTATTTTCGAGATGCCCAATCACTTCCAAGTATTACGATAATTCCTTAAGCGGGCTATATGTACTTCACAAAAGTTTAAAATACCCCTATTTCGAAATAGGTTAAAAATAGCTTTCTCAAATGCTTACCTTTGATAAATCGTATCAATTATAGAAGCGCTGTAATAATTTACAACCGCCACTGCCAGCCCACCCAAGGAAAAGTACGATTGCAAAGCACCCAAGTAGTTCCTTTAACAAAATCGAGAGATAAACAAATAACTAACATACTAAACAGCCCTTCTCCTCGTTTGAACGTCATCCTCAGGACTTTCTTTGGTCAGCATCCCGGGGCAGACGTCAAAACGTAGTCAATGCTGTAAGGAAAAACCCATGAGTCGCCAATGCTAGCCATTAAATTTCCATGTAATTAAGAAGATACTTGACCGCATTGTCACTGATCACTATAGGCAATTCTACTGGATCTGGAGTTCCATCCTGTATGAGAACTGGGTTTGGAGATTGGGTAATGAGCTGGCGATCACACGCGTCCGTAGCTTGGCATAGAAATATACTGGCCCAAAAGCAGAGTCATGTAACAAAGGGAGGGATTTAATATCATCCCCTGGGGATAGAATTTTACGTCTATTCCTTTTTGCTACTTTTTCTTACTCCAGCGCTGCCCAGCCTTATTTATTTGAATTCTAACCAACTAGTAAAAGGTAGAGGAGGTATTGCTAGTTTCCATATTCGATATTCTAATACAAGTACCGTAGACAGCTCCGTAACAGCTACTGTCGCTTCATTTGTTAGTAGCTTTCCTGTAGATTGTGAGGCCGGGGTGCTTGCAGAAGGTAAACATCATTTTCAGACCTTCTGTAAGGGGTTATTACCAACTCTTCAACCAGCAGCATATGCAAACGATCGGTTTCTTTTTCCGCTGGCACCAATGCAACACTCCAAGACAAATCTGAGTACAAAAGAAGACAAAATACTCAAGCAGAATATGCGTATTCGACATACAGTAGGGATTGGAGCAACTGGCATGGCCTGAGGGCTAACCCATCCGGCGAAAGTACAATCGCGGAGCACCTAAGTGGCCACTTTACTAAAATCGGGTGTTAAATAAACAACTAAAGTGTTACAATAAAGCATTCTAGTATGGGAGTGACTTTGTAAGGGAAACATAGAAGAACTATGAGGCTAGTAGCATACATGTCGTGGAGCTTAATTCGTATATGCTAAATTTTGGGCTGTAAAGACCCACTTTTTTGTACAAATAAATAAGGAGAATATCTTTTTTAAGGTAACTCTGTTTTGATTCTGGGATCCGTCTCGATGTGTCGAATAATTTTTCTTGCATGATGATATTCCGTAACTATGATGGAATTTTAGTTTATTGATTTTAATGAAGTTTACTTATAGCAGTCCCTATTGGCAAACGATTTTGGTAGTAGTTACTTGGAAAGTGATCACAGCGACCAAAATGCAAACATAAGTTTGTATTTGGGGATATATTTGCCTGGTTCAAGACTTCTTAATAAAATACAGATCTTAAAAAATAGTCAAACTATTTGTTATGATTTTGGCTCGTTCAACTCTTTTTAGCTATGTACAATCTACAATTCTTATTTCCAGCTTTAGCTACCTGCAAAAATTAATTTCGTTTCTAGCAGCGAGATAACTAAATTGGTGACAAGTCCAACCCAAAGCCTGGGCAGAGGCAGCTGAATTTGTCATAAGGACAAAAGATATCACGCATATCTTACCACTCTGCCACAAAACTGCAAGACTATTATCAATGCTTGCCTTATAGGACAGCCCTCTGAAAGCAGTACAAATGTTGTGGGTGAACCTGATCATGGACACTCTTGCGTCTTTGGCACTGGCGACGGAATTGCCAACAGAGGATCTGCTAGAACGAGCTCCTTATGGTAGGACGAAGCCTCTAATCAGTCGATCAATGATGAAATTCATCATTGGGCAGGCGTTTTACCAAATTGTGGTTATATTCACTCTCCTTTGGGCAGGTGAGTTTTTATTAATTGGAGCTAAAAGGTGTCTATCTTTTAAAATGCACATTTTGGGCATTCCACCGCTTTTTCCTTCCAAGAAATGTATAAGATAAATGCATATTTTACGTGCTAAAAGCTTCCACGGCGGCGGTAATTTGGGAACCATGGTGAAGTTGACTTTGTTTTGGGAATGGATTTTTAAATACACAACAAAAGGGGACTAAAAGCAGGCAATTGTAAAGCATCAGTTCCTTGTAGAACATGTTGAATTCATGTAATGCGGGTTTACAATCGTATAAAGAGACGGTGACAAGGCATTGAGATACATTCATTTTACCCAAATACCTAAAAGTCAAAGTTGTGGTTGTTGATCACGCCTTTTACCGAACGAATTTATTCTAGGCTATTATAACCGCAATGCAAAGGTTTTTTTGATGCCATTGTTAATGATTCTAGTAAACTATTTCTCTATTTCTAGAAATTTGGCATTGCTTTCTCAGCTTTAATTTAAACTCTAAAATAAAATGATTTCACACCCAGATGCATATCAATTTGACAGTTTGTGGCTTACAGAAGAATTCAACTTTCAGGCATTACCTTATGCTGACCGAAACACAGAAGCACCTTACCGAAAAATACCAAGAAGCTATTTCCTCGTGTGCGTAATTTAGATTTGAGCGAATTAAAGTCAGTCTTAACAAGTACGCCAAATAGGAAAAAACTGTACATTGTTTAGTTGAAAGCCTTTAATACTCACCGTTTGTATTCCTTTGGTCAAAGCATGGTAATATTTTGGACGCCTTCTTAAAACTCTACCTGGAAAAATGGGGCAATTTTATGCACACAAGTTGCCACTCTAAAAGTAATCCTGTGTAATAGGATAAGAGGGTATTGTTTACTTATTTTGGGGAAAAATTTCGGAATGTTTTTGATAATATCACTACCTCAAGTAATCAAAACCCATAAAAAGCTTGCAGAAAATGAGTTTAGTTACATTAAAATCAGTTAATGCTCGTATTCTGAGTTTGCCTTTAATGCAATCTATGTCTCCTTTGATGTAGTTTTCTAAGGCTGGTTACTAGAGCCATAAGCTACTAAAGTATTCATGAAGATACGTCTTAAAATGCAGCTTTTTTAAAGTGATGATAAAATGGATCTCTATCCATCATTTTCTATGGTTATTCACTCCAAGATCAGTAAAACACTAGATAGCTTCTCTGTTTTTCATTAAAAATTGCGAATTCCACCCCCCCCCCCCCCCACCTAATCAGAATGTCATTGAAAGAGATTTCAGTTTCCTGCCTAGATTAATTCTTTTAAAGTCACTCCTAATTTTTTAATTTCTACTAAGATGATGGCTATTTCTCTCGTCTTTATTTGTTCATCCCTTTCTACCTTTCAAAAAGCAAGACTTTTCCATAATTAAAAAACTTCGGTAACTTCAACTAGAAGGCTTTAATTGTTAAGAGTTTGATAAAGGATAGGAGGTGAATTCTTTCCTTAACTATATTGCATTAAAATAAGGTTATGACTATCTGTACAACTCATTTTGAAAATACACATTTTCTCAAGGTGTCAAATTCTGCTTAATTCAAAAGGCGTTCCGAAAATTCCTTCATGTATGATAATGAATTGCTGTCTTAGAAACCCTATTCCCTATCCCTATTAGACAACTGCACACCCGATATCACGAAGATGAAATCAGTCTTATGAGTGTGGAAATTAGTGTCGCCATGGTTCAGTTGCTATTAACCAAAATGACATGGCTACTCCAACGCGTATGCTTTTAGTGTTTAGAGCAAAGGCTTATTTCAAGATCGCGTCCGTTAAGCCATTTTGTCTCACTGTTGCTATCGCAACTGATTCAACCTCAATATTTGGTTGTTTTTGTTCACTAATACGTAATCTATTTCTCACCTGCCTAAGTCATTATGACCTTGATTATTTTTCTTTTGCGTGGAAGATTATTTTTTAATACAACATTTCTGCATATGAGATCTACCCTCGAATCAAGGCGCTCAAGTATAAGTATTTCGTACTTTCACATTTAGCAGTTGCTCTCTACTTTGAAAACAGTTTGAGTTTTATGCATGAACACATCCATCTTAAAGTGATGGGACATCAAAATTACTGACTAACTCAAAAGTTAACTGATTAGATGTAATAGTAGCGCATAAGTGAGCAGGCGTCAACAAAAATTGTTTAGAAGTATCAACCTCCTCGAATTTTACTGCGTAAATGCTCGATGTAAAGATGGTCGGAATTATAACTAAACCTGGTAACGAAGCAAACGGAACAACTCTTCACTTCAAAATACACTATTCAAAATCTCAGTGGGGTGCCAGCATCGAATTATTTTGTATCTTTACTTCCTATGGTATTTATTACATCTTGCATCAAGTAATCACCAAATCGTGATTTCCAAAAATGTGTGTTACCAAAAGATGTTGCGACTTTAATCTTTACCCTGAGCCCGTTAATATTTTTAACACTCACAGGTTTAGGTATCGTGATATTGTCTATTTAAAATCAAATCAAACAATAGTATAATTTCCAAAACAGTTATTAAACAGTCATTTAACAGTAATTTTTTTTTTCGAAGGTGAGTATATATTAAACGTGGACAACGCTCAGGTACTATCAGAAAACGGTATGAGGGGACCGACTCGACACTTTACAGCAATATTTAACACCTTTGTGATGATGACTCTTTTCAACGAGATCAATGCTCGAAAAGTTCACGGTCAGCGAAACGCTTTTTCGGGGGTGGGAAAAAATCTCCTCTTCTCAGGCATCTGGTTGGCCACTTTCGTTGGTCAGGTGAGTCTACTCGGATCTGTTTAGTTATCCTGTCGCATTTAAATTGGATTATTATTTGGCCGTCATGATATTTTACCTATAAAAAAGCGATCCTTCGCGTATTACCTATTTTTTTTTAAATTCCAACTATGCTTCGGCGCTTGATCACAGTTTGTCCCTATCGTTTTTCGACCATTAGAAGAATAAGATATTAAGGTAGTAAAAGTAGTTTATTCAAATATAAATTTCAACATTCGCTCGTTTGGTTTGTGTGATGGATCTCAGCTGCATTATTATGTTATATCAGAGTGAAAATACAGCAGAAACTAAAGCCGTCACTTTTGATACTAGCTTTTTGTTTACTTCTAAACACTTTGCTTCATTTTGGTCAAAAATTTGTTTAAAACGGGACTGTTATCCTTCATATTGCTTATGAAACGAACTTAATACTTATCGGGCACATTTTTGTTTAGCATTATCCAAAAGCACACACACCAAACTCTGTCACTAATTCTGACGCCAGCAGGCAATTAGTGGCTTTCTTCTACCACAGTTGTTTACCTTCCGTTCCAGCCTCGGACAGGCTTCCCATATATATAGACTATCGTTCATCGGACTGCTGGCGTTCCGATACTTGTACACTATATTTTAAATTATAACGTTATGCAAAATCCCAAAAGCTGCTAAGGAAAACCGAAATCCGAAGGCTTACCGCGATCACAGCAGTGATCACGCGTCATTGAAACATTCAGCGCTGAGGTTTTGACTTATATCTACAAATGTAATGGATTTTGGTGGATAACGCATTTTCCTTCCAAACGTCGACATTAGACAAATCAACCCACAAATAATTATTAAACAGTCGGAATAATAAGTTTTTCAATTTTCCGATTCTCCTTAATTTGTGCAATGCGACTAGCTGATTAAAACATGAACTGATTTATCATCCTCTCTTTGCCTGGTTTACTCAAAAGATAGATTATTTGAAATAAATACTAAAAAGCACTCTGCCGTGGTGTGAATTTATGCGAAATGATTAAGGTTAAAATGCTGCAATGCATCTAAAGCTTTGGCGGATTCTCAAGTCAGATACAGTTGGTGGTAGAATAATGTATTTACAAAGACAAATTTCTCAACTTCTCATTCCATAAGTGACAAAACTTAGAACTTTTACCTCTGTTATATGTACAGCAAGACAGGTGTTTGGCCATTTGGATTGTTTGCAGACCACTTTGTTATTCCATTTCCGTTTCAGTCATGCATGTCTCCAACGATTTATCTTCCCTAAGCAGAGATCAGACTGTCATGAGTTGCTACGAGGGATTATTTATACTTACTCCAATGTGAATAATATGATCCCATCAAAGCACTTGCAAAAGGCCTTTATAAGCATTGTGTGGCAACAGTCTCCCAACCTTCAAAGTACACACGAGATATCATATATTAACCACTTCCAAATTTTTAAAATTAACCCTATTATAGTTTAACTGTAATTTTAAACACTATTTCTCTAAATTAAAAATAGTAGCTGTAAATGTGTCATAGTTATGCGCGAAGCTAATTGACTCTAACCCCAAATGTCGCTTAAACTCTCAATCTCTGGATTAAATCACGTGCTCCATGGGACTTACTTGGTGTAATCTAGAGAGTTCCTTTGCCTCATGACAGAATAAATGATTGGACTTGAATAAATTACTTTAAGGTTTCTTCTATTTATTGAAACCCAAAATCATCCATAAAAGGTTTCCCTCTTTTGCCCCTCAGATTCAATGAATCTTTGTGCAAATTTTGCACCATTCTTAATGAAATGCTACTGATTTTGTTTTAAAACTTCAGATGTATTCGGTATTTGGTTATTTAATTACTAGGCGCTTCTTGTAACCCCCTACTCTCAAGCATTTATTTACTTAAAGTCACCCCGCTACATAAAACCACTTTAAGATGGCATTAACAGTGTGCTTTTTTACTAAATGAAACACTCTTTAATAGGTTCATTTCAAATTAACCAAAAAACTTACAATAGTATCTAAATGCGTTAACAGATTCTTTTCATTTTCCAACTTTAGATAATAATCGTTCAATTCGGTGGGGTCCCACTGAGCACAATGCCTCTGGACGTCGAACAGTGGATGTGGTGCATATTCTTCGGCATAGGGACTCTCCTCTGGGGACAGGTAAATATTAAGCTTCTTTTCCCGAAATTCGCCTTGTGTTTAATTTTATGGATAGGATTTTCACAATAAGCCTATCCACAAAAAATCAATTTATCTTAATCCCAAAAAAGGGAGGGATAGGAGGATCACGATTACAATAGATTACTTTCTGTAATTTGGGCGAAGACATGCTAGTACTGGACAGCCAAGCAGTGCAATGGATTTAAAAATAAAACAAATAACAGCATAACAGTTTTAAAACATCATTTTAGTTTAGCCAGTTCCCATCAAAACTTAATGAGCTAGCTTCCAATTCAACTATCAATGAAAGCCTTGTCTATAGAATCCCCAAAAAAACGCAAAGAATATGTCTGTTCCTCTTTCTTAGGTCTCAAATTTATTTCCCAACAGTCTATTCTATTTTACATATGATTACCTGGTGTTAATGCCAGTAGAAGTCAGTAAGAATCACCAGGAGAAATGGCACACTAGAAGGAGTAGGGTGGAATGAGAATGAGACAGTATCCTCATTTTCCTCAAACCTTCCTTACTTCCCCCAGTCTCCTCCCCAGCCTATCTAAAACAATATCTTCTCACCGGTAATTTCATCGGTACACAATATGCAGTACGAAGTCTTCCGTTTTCTTGTAAGAATACAAATTTCTCCTATTGACAGGCGGATTAATTCTGACTGCTCCTCAGATAGTATTACTTACATACCAATCTGTATAATCTTAATTAGATACAAGAACCATTCTTTATCTGTCAGAAACCACATTTTGGTAGAGCGTTTGAAAGAAGTGAGGAAATAATTGACAATCTGTGAACCCTACTGTCATCTCCTGGTAAATTGTGTGGGATAGAATCATTTGCTCTGTCTTCAGCTCTAGCTTTATTTCCGCCACGATGTTATGATGGTATAGGTGCAGATGAATTGTTTTATTAGTTACGTACAACACTACTAAGAGCTGTCCCCTGCACGGAATCCCTAAATAACGTGGCATTTAATACAAGTGGTTCATTCTCAGTGTAAAAAATAAACAGTTGCGTTTTCACCCGCATAATTTTTACGAAATCCTACAGTTATGGAGCCGAGTTAAACTTTTTGAGACGACAAACAAGGATTATATCCACTCTATTAAACAGAAAATTATCGCGTACTTATGCATTGTAAATGAAGCCACTTAAATAAGTACATGCACTTTACAAGTTCCTACACATTACCCAAAACTACTACATCGTAAAGTATGCGAAGATTTTCGATTACCTGCTAATCAACCGATCTTTAGTGCATGGAAGTAAAAAGAACACAAATATCACTAATATGCTTTAATCCTGTGATACATTTGCTATTTAACTTGCTTTGAAGTAGTTTGTGACCCATAGAAGTGAGAGCTTGCATTAGGCCAAAAGCGGCTACCCAAGCGCTTCCGAGTGGGTAATTAAAACTCTATCCTCGTGGATTTGAGAGCTCAATAGTTTGTTTTCGTTTTATGTCAGATCCTGAATAAGCATCGTTGTTGAGTTCTTTTTGGATACTGGTTTAATTTTTTGATGTTTTTCCTCCAATTTTACAGTGCCCCTGGTAAATATATTGTCCCTAAAGTAAATCTTGATGTTAAAGTGGTGAATTCAAAGAATTAATTACATATCAAATCAGACTAGCACAATTTGGCATAAAATTAGTACCAACTTGCACCCTTGCCCATAGAATGCGGTTAAAAGTTTTTTGCAACTAACCATTCAAGAGAAAGAGAAAAATCGTTATAAAACTCAATTTGGATTGTTTGTATTACTTTACCTTAATAGGTAACGTTTCTTGAACGCATCGTGTGAATTTATTTGTCTGGCAAATTGGGTGCTCTTCCATTCTTATAGATCGTATAGTATTCAAAGATGGCTGCTAATCATGCTATGGGCCGCACTGAGTAGTATTGTTATAACGGGTACTTTTGCGGACTTGAAACGCACTGTAGTACGGATTCATCGCCACCAGCATGCTGTGTCTACTATGGGATGTGTACAAACTCATCCAAAGGGCATCAAATGAAAGAGAACACAAGTAAAAGACATCTGTTCTCAAAATTTATCTCGTCACCCCGACTATAAAATTATTCGGTCTTGTAAAAAAGTTCTGTTGTTAAAAACTACTAGTACAAATTATTTTTGAACGTTTTTCGTAATGTAACATCATTTAAGGTCTTTTCCAAGAGCAATACTTCCTACATTGGTTTGCAAATTTTAGGGTAAAAGAAAAGCTTAATTGGTAAAAGCTTATAATCCAATGGGAAATGCCAGTTCCATGTTATAACTGGTGATCAGTTGCAATTTCACTCACTTATTAATGCCACATTTGTTGCCAGTTTGTAGATATGCTTTGCTTTTCAGCTGTCAATACCACCACATTGTGTTGAAACATTTCACGTTTCCTTTTCTATGATCAAAGCATAACCAAACATGCTGTAACTTGACCACACCCAGTGCACCATTCCTCAATCCCAACTCGTGCTAGAGTTATTAAGACACATAATATTCATAATTGCTTAAATGAAGTTGAAGTTCAGTTTTTGAGATACTGTAATTAGTCAACGTGAACAAATGCAAAATGGTGCAGTTCCCGAATCTCTCTTGAACAAAACGTTAAAAGATTGTACAGAGGTGAAATTAATGAACATCATGATACCAAAATTAGGATTGAAATCATAGAGCCTGAGGAGTCCTTCTAATTAATCATGCAAAATAATCAAACTCCTGGTCTATTTCATTGGATCTACTAAGAAGAGGTGCCAGATTTAGGATTGGATTCTTTCAATGCTTGCTCCTTATAGGTGTTGATTTCCATCCCTTCTTGGGTGGTTCCACGACTTTCGACAATCTGCTTCTGGACCAAACGGGGTCGTCAACGACGCATAAGAAAGCGTCGCAACACCACAGTCTCCACCGACGAGACGCCCGCAGCTCCAGCAATGACCCTCGTTGATCTAGAAGATGCCTTCCCAACCACAGATTCCCTGCGTGGTAAAGCTCCCAGTTTTGTGGCAAATTCATTGGAATATGTAAAACAAGCTGTTGAGAATGGAACTGATGACACGATCCCATCAGAGTCAATTGAATTAGAGGAAGTAGACGATGATGAGGATGAAGAAGACGAGGAAGAACCCGATGAACTTCGTCAGGGACAGGTGCTCTGGATTCGGGGACTTTCTCGTCTTCAAACTCAGGTGAGAATGTTAAGCATAGGCCCCCATAAGGCATACGCGTATTGTCTTTATCGCATCGTGACTATTTATTTAAGTAGAATCAACATTATCAGTCCACGTATGACGATCAGTTGCCTCAGAAACACAATAAGCACTGAGTCGTGTTTCCCATAACAAAACGTGACAGCAACCAATCACTAATTCCCTAACCCATGTGTAAGAAAAACGTTTTCTAGTCTTTGGATGGTGTCGATGGAGGAATTCCATTCTATGAGTATAGTGTACGTTTTTTGGCTTTTGTATAAAGAATTTTAGCGCCCTCCAGTTGGACAGACACAGCGAGGTTCGTGAGTCAGTACGTGACTTCACTCGCAGACGAATTTATAGCCTCGGATGCAACAATTCTATTCTAAATCTGGCTCGCAGCTCATTGCAGCTTCGACGACCTGTTAGTCAACCGGAGGAGTTAAATGATAACTCCGCTCATTACAGGCAAAATAACAGTAGAAAAAACAACAGTTGCCGTCAAAAGCACCACCCGATCGATCATTTCAGCCAAGACTGTCTCAAGGATGAATAACACGACCACATACACCGAAGCTGATTGATAGGCGTAGTAAATCACACTTTTGCTAATCCAGTTAATCCACTCTACTATGTACTTACGTATGCAATGTATACATATGCTCTTTAACTGACCTGCATTCTTATTTTCCTTCCTTCCTCCCACTCACGTCTCCAGTTGCTTCTCGTGAGTTCATTTATTACTGTCGCCAGGTCCCGTGTGTGTGTATTTTTTGTATTATCCTATGTGTGCATGTGCAAGAGGAATAGAAGTTGTGCCAGAATTGTCTGTGTCTCTTTCCATACCTTGTGAAACCCTGTCACTGTCTGTTGTACAAAAAACTAGGCTTGGAGCCAGATTCGAAGTGGGCTTGAGGTAAGTTCGGACCAGCCAAGCAAATAAATGGAATCCTACAGAAGTAGTAATCTAAGCATCTCTTATGCATTTAGGCGTTAATTCTAAAATAAATACGCACTTCTTTCTTATTTTAAAACAATTTTAAATGAATATTTTAGAAGTATGTTTAGATTGGAGTGACTCTCTAGGTGCAAAGGGGATTAATGATAAGTTACAAAGATGTCAGCGAAAGGATAAGTGATGGAATTTAATTTTTTAATGTGACATCTAAAATCACTTTCTTGGCTCAGTGTGCTGTATTTTTATCGCAGTATTTATCCGTATTTTTGAAATTCGAGAATATGAGTTCAGTCTGCAAGTGAAACACTTTGTTTCGATTAATCGCTCGGGTCCTCTCTGAAGTAGTCATTAGGATGTATGAGTCCGAATAGAACCGCAGTTTTGTTGACAGTGCTAAAATAAGTCTAACGCTATAAAACCGGGGAGGTGATCGAAACCATGAGCAAATATCATCCTGCCAAAAATGCTTATGACATTTCTTGAAAAGCCTTTTATTGTAAAAATAGGCCAGCAAATACAGCAAATACACCTCACAATTTTATGGTTCTAAATTTAAAAGTTGTTTAAAGTCACGTTAAATTCTTTTCCCATCATTTGCTAAGTTTAAATTTCCTTAAGGTACTAACAGTGAAATTCTACAAAAAATCTAGTTGCACCAATTCTTAGGTAAAAAGCTTTAAAAGTATTATTTGTTTGTAATAGAGGCAACATTTCGCAATGCTGTTTTCAATCTAAAACGCAGAATGTTCAGAAGCAATTATGCTGTCTCACTTTTTGAGTGAGGTGTTTTTGCTCTTATAACCATCAGTTTACCCAAGCATAAATAAAAGGGCTAGACACCCATGATGCTAATATCATAGTAAAATCAAAAGGGGTGGAAAAGAGCCACTTTGTGTGCGAATACAGTAAAGAAATCCCCCTTTCGTCCTCCGCTTTCGGGCGTTGTCTTCTACACCCCTTTCCGTCGCTCTTCCACTTCGGCAGCCAGGTAATAATCGAATGCATTGAATCAACAACGAGGCGGGAGAAAGATTATACACTGAATCTTTATTTTGATGAAAGGTTCCTAAATTTTAATGATGGCCCAAATTCTAAGCAGTAAGTTAAGTAGAGCAGAGGACCGTACGACATTCTACAGCAAACAACCTTCGTGGCCTAATCGTTTTATCCATAAATGCTTATCGAACAAGCAAAACTCTTTAATAAATTATGTTTGCGAGGATAAGTTGCATATTTTAACACCCTTGCAGCTTTTACCATAGCATTGCTGCCTGATGAAATAATTACCAATTTAATTTGGCAAGCAATTCTTTGAGGTTAAGGTTCATTTGAATTTTTGCCTTGTTTTGTTAGTGCCTATCAAGGTAGTTACCACAAGTCTACACGGTTCCAATAGCCTCTCTATTGATAGTGTCTTAAGATTCACCCGGTCACAGCAGGTTCTTTTCATTCGCTATATTTCGGTGAGATATTAAGGCATCGACAAGTTTTTCTTCTTTTTGAGTACACTGGCAAAGCTACTTCCAACGTTAAGTCTGGATCAACTCTGAGTAGGTGCATTAATCTGGGGTAACTTCACTACTGACATACAGAAGGGCTAGGAAACGACCACCATAGGTAGTGTAGGCAAAGCTTCATTACACTAACATGGTAGTTGAAGGATAGCTTAAATGACTAATCTGATTCTGTTGATGGATCTCTCAAAGTAGGATCCTCCAATTTCAATTATAAGGCAGAATTACATATCTCTACCAATCGGAACAACTGGGGGTTCGGGCGTCAATAACAACTAGCGGTAATATTGAACGTGGGTGATACAGCAATCCGTCTACAGCTAAATCAACTAAAAAGAAAAAAGTTTTCGTGAAAATGGAGCTAAAGAAAATGACTCAAACCCACACGTTTAAACAGGAGATGAGAGTGGGATTTAGAGACTACTAATGTGTTCTTTACCCCTTTCAAGTGCGCCGGCAAAGTGTGTAGTTACATGGTTTGCTGACAGACTGGGCGACTTGTGATGAGTAATGCATCTTGTATCTACTGATGACAATACAGATCATTGTGTAAAGAACACCACCTGAGAAAAAATCACGACTAATAAATCCATCATTGGGATGAAATTCGTATCTTTTCAAGGCAACGGAAGACCTCACGCTGCATATTGTACATCGCAGAAATTACTGGTGAGTGAATACACATTTTAATAAAGATGGGAGAGGGGGGAAGGGATAGCGAGAAGGCGATAAAGGACAATGTCTCATTCGCACCACCAGCCTCCTCATTCTCGAACGCATCCTCCGCATTCCCACGATGGTGATATTTCTCTTAGTGATGCCAATGACTTTTTGGGCATTTACAAAAGATAATCCCACGACCACATATGAATTAGAGTTAAAAGTTGAGGACCATCGTTTGGAT